GATCTGCTGATTCACTCCCCAAATGGCCACAATGGTTGGGGCTGGACCAGGCTGAAACCAGGAGCCAAGAGCTTCATTCAGATCTCCCACATGGGTGGTAGGGGCTCAAGTAATTAGACCATCTTGGGTTGCTTTTTTTAGGCGCATTAGTAGGGAGCTGGATCAGAAGTGGAGCAGCTAGGACTCAAAACTCGTACCCTCGTTGTAGGTAATGGCTTAACCTACTATGCCACAAGGTCATCCTCATTTCTGTACTTGTCTAGAGTTAAATGTTAGTTGCTGAATCAGGATCAAAGAATTGATTTTTTTTTTCCTCCTCTTTTGGTAGTTTGTAAAGTGTATATAAGTGAATGAAGTATTGACCAATTAACTTTAAGTGGGTGTTAACATGGGTATTTGGGGAAAGAAACTAATCATTGCGATCTTCATCATCATCTTGTTTTTATTTGTTTTGCAGTGGGACTTCCCCTCTTGCATGCCTGAATGCAATGCTGCACACAAACTCCCGAGGTGAAGAGGGCATCTTTTATAAGGTTCCAGGTAGAATGGGAGTGTATACTCTGAAGGTAAATATTTTTTGGGGGGAGTCATTTAAAAAGAAAAAAGAGAAAGTGACCATTTTTAAGTAATATTTGACTCATCATAGAGAATTCTGTCCTTCAAGAACCTATTTTCAGGAAGAGGCAATATTTTTAATCCTGTACCCAATATATATGTGTGTGTTTTTTTAAACTAATTTCTTACTATGTATAAATAGATCAGAGGAGTGACTTTATTTTTTATTCTTTCTTATTACCTTATCTTTAAATGATGAAGTAAAACATACTTACAGTGCCTTTTTAAGGAGCCTTACTGTATTTGAATAATAAAAGTTACTGTGGAGCATGCTATGTAAATGCTGTATATTACTTTCTCATTTAATTCTCCACACAAGTAGCAGTTATGGTTATTTTTTCTTTTCTTTTTTAGAATGTAGGAAGGTAAAGGTTAGAAGATTGTATTTTCTTGCCTAGTGTTGCAGCCATATAGTATCAGAGCCAGGAAAAGAATGCAGGTCTGTCTCTCACTCCTAGCCCACGTTCTTTCTACCAGAAAAAGCTGCTACTTTCTAATTGCTACATTGAGAAGTGACCATTACTTATCAATGACCTTTCCATTACTAACAGGAAAACCAACTCAGATCAGCTTGAGTAAGACAGATAATTTATTTGCCCACATAATTGGAAATTCTAAGAAAACCCAGGCTGGATCCAAGAACTCAAAGGATGTCATCAGGATTGTTCTCTCCACTTTCTTTTGGTTTAGTTCTTAGTTAGGCTTTCTCTTCATCATACATGATTTCATTCCCTACCCTCACTCTGCAAACTTGTCGGTACAGAGCTCTGTTCTAGGAGCTGAGGGAGGAGCCTGTCACCTAATTCTAACTTGGTTTCATTGGTTTGGCTTGGTCCTTGTGGCTGTACCCAAGTGATTACTGTTGCCAAATGTATAGATTTTTCTGATTGGCCGGACTTCAGTTCATGATCACTCTTGTTGTAAAGTTGAGATTAAGCCCACTGAAGCCAGGGGACCTGAAGGAGAGGGCTTGTTCTGCACAGGACATCGATCAGCAACAGGAGAATGAGATTGTCTGTGTTCCGGTGTATGTGGTGCTCTGTCCCCTGCTGCCTCTTTAATTCTGAGCCCTAGTCATCTCTGTGCTCAGTGGTTGTGTGCAGCCCGCTCACAGTCAAAAGATCTAACCTCTTCAAACACCTCCTTTTTGTACTTAATTCCCACATGGAGCTTTCTACATTTCTCTTAGGTTTTAACAATTCTAGACCTTCCATATTGTTAAAAAAAATAAGTAAATAAGTCCCTGCTGTGTTAATAGATGTAGGAAGGCCGGCGCCGCGGCTCAGTAGGCTAATCCTCCGCCTAGCGGCGCCGGCACACCGGGTTCTAGTCCCGGTCGGGGCGCCGGATTCTGTCCCGGTTGCCCCTCTTCCAGGCCAGCCCTCTGCTGTGGCCAGGGAGTGCAGTGGAGGATGGCCCAGGTGCTTGGGCCCTGCACCCCATGGGAGACCAGGAAAAGCACCTGGCTCCTGGCTCCTGCCATCGGATCAGCGCGGTGCGCCGGCCGCAGCGCGCCGGCCGCGGCGGCCATTGGAGGGTGAACCAACGGCAAAGGAAGACCTTTCTCTCTGTCTCTCTCTCTCACTGTCCACTCTGCCTGTCAAAAAAAAAAAAATAAATAAAAAAAAAAAAATAGATGTAGGAAAATAATCAAAGTGTTTTTCCTTTTGTCAGACACCATTCAGTACAATACTTCCAACACCAGACATGTAGGAATTTCTTCCCACATACCAAGCAGTTCTCCAGCAGGTACCAGCTGGATGTCCTCAAATTCACCTCAGTTCTTTTTAAAGATTTATTTTATTTATTTGAAAGAGTTACAGAGAGAGAGAGAGAGAGAGAGAGAGAGAGAGAGGTCTTTATCCGCTGGTTCATTCCCCAGATGACCACAATGGCCAGAGCTGAGCTGATCTGAAGCCAGGGGCCCAAAGACTTGGGCCATCTTCTGCTGCTTTCCCAGGCCATAGCAGAGAGCTGGATCAGAAGTAGAGTAACTGGGACTCGAACCGGTGCCTCTCTGGGATGCTGGCGCTGTAGGCTGGGGCTTTAACCCGCTGCCCATTGCACTGGCTCTTCACCTCAGTTCTTACGCTGTCTCCTTGGAGATGGGGTCGGGCTCCATAGATTGAGGGCTCAGTCCCATGAAACGGTGGCTGTTTAGGAGGCCAAGATTCTTCTCACTAGAACAAAAGATGTTCCTATCAACCAGGAATTTCTACAGGTCTTAGGAGTTCTGTGACAGGAACTGGGATCAAAGACCAAATATCAGAACAAAAGATTTTTTCTAATGGCTCTGTTGCTCAGGAGATTACAAGAATTTTAGAATTCTCGCTCTCTGTGTCAGGAACCATGGTCAGAGACCAAGTGTATATTTATTATATCAAAATTCCACACCCATGCTGGGAACTGTGGAGCCTGTAGAGACGGGTCCCTGTGGTGGCTTCTCCCTTGAGGCTCACATTCTGCTTATTGAGATAGGTGCATACTCACAAAACACTATGCTATGAAGTTCTGTGATCGTGAAGAGAAATAAAAGTTGATTTTGACTAAAGGTGTCTAGCTAGTATTTTGTTGTCATCCTCTTAAGATGAGCTGGACTTTGACAGATAAGTAATGTGAGGAAAGGCCTTCCAGGACACGGGAATAGCTTAAGCAAACGCACAGACAAAAGGATCAGAATGTATGTGAAAGTAGAGCCTATAATCTGCATGTGGACTTATGTATTAAGGGGTTAGGATAGTGTAACCACTAGGTTCTGATCAATGGAGTCCTTTGACAGCCTCACAGAGGAGTTTGCTGTGTGTGTGGGAGTAGATGGCAGCGGTTTTTCTCAATAGCATGGTCAAATCCATGTTTAGGAAGATAAATCAGATAGATAGATTTAAGGAGAAAGCAGAGGAAAAGGTGGTTATGGTTGTGTGGAGGAGTTTCAGGTCCTGAACTAAGAGGGTTGGTAAAATATAAACCCCTTCTTTTTCTGTTCTTCAAAATGCACAGTAGCTTTTATACAATCAGTTGGCACACAGATATCTTGACCTGTAGGTTTAACAAGTATCTGAAATAGAATTATCTTTTTTTAACCTTTGACTCCTCCAGAATCAACTGGTCACGGCTCAAATTCTAGATTCATTTCACCCCCTCTTTTACCCATTCAAAATGCTATAAATGTTTTCTATTTTTCTAATGTCCCTTGCCATTTTGTGTTTGCCAGAATTGTTTTTTAATCTGATTATAAAAGTCAACTATGTAGGGAATAAAATAGTGGAGGGAAGAACCACCCATAGTTACATAACTTAGAAATAGCATCCACAAATGCCTTTAAATATTATATTTTTATATACTACATAAATACACAGTAGCTAATATTTTACTGAATTCTTAAGCCAGGCACTGTTTTAAGCATTTTATAGTAATTAGCTCATTTTGTTTCATAAAGATCTTTTAAAGTTGTTCCTGTTACCTCCACCTTAGAGTCAGGGAAACTGAGGCATGAGAAGGCGAGTCTTTGACCAAGGCTGCACAGTTAGGAAGATAAAGCCAGAAAATCTTTTTTCCTTGTCTTTGATCTTGAAACTAAGCTGTTACATCTCTTAAGTACTAAGCTGACAGAGTTATCCTTTTTGATTAGTATTCTCATTAACTAAGTATGGAAACCAGAGAGATTCATGTGATATTTTTAAAAATTATTTTAATTTGACGCTTGCGTCTTACTAACCAATATCCAGGAACCAATTAGATTTAAATAATGTACTATTTCTTAAGTGTCAGTACTCTCATTCTGTAGTTGAATTCAGAATACACGGTGGTACTTACACACACACACAAACACATGTACATATATTTAACAAAATTATTATATAGGTTTTTTTTTTACAATTCTTGAAAATTTCATCACTTACCTGGATTTTCATCTACCTAATTTTTGTCTAAATTTATCTTGTGTGTTGTACCTGTATATGAATATTGTGTATATACTTTTTAATCTTTGAGAGGAGATAGAAACATTAGTTTATTTGACCCAAAAACAGAAACTACAGGAATTCAGAAAATATTGCTAGCTCTGTTACTGAGTCTTATAATTATTGCTGGCTCTGTTCCTGAACCTGATAATGCTAAAGTTAATCAGTGCAATTAAATTGCAACATTGACTATCAGAAATTTAATTCCTATTTGCTGAAATGGTAATGATTAATCCTAATTGGATGCCTACATTTGCAGAAAGATGTGCCGGATGGGGTGAAAGAGCTATCAGAAGGTTCAGAAGAAAGCAGTGATGGTCAGTCAGATTCCCAGAGTTCTGAGAACAGCAGCAGCAGCAGTGATGGTGGCAGCAACAAGGAGGGAAAAAAGAGCAGGTGGAAAAGGAAAGGTAAATCCACCTGATCCTTCAATAAAGTACTGATTGCTCTAGGACCAGTGCCCTGTTAGTAGTTCCTGTTTTCCCATCCCCCAGCCCAGTCAGTCTCTTTCCTTTACCCTCTGGATCAGTACTGTGCAACCACAGACATGTTTGTATTTATATTGTCTCTCACAACACTGTAGCTACTAGCTATGTGTGCCTAGCAAACACTGGAAATATGGCTAATATGACCAAGGAATTTTTTAAAAATACTTTATTTTTAAGAGCAATTTTAGGTTCACTGCAAAATTGAACAGAAGGTACCGGGATTTTTCCACATGCCCCTGTCCCGTCCACATACACTGCTTCCCCTACCATCAAGATCTCCTTCAGATTGGCAACCAATATCACTCAGAGCCCATAGTTTAGATTAGGGTTTACTTTCGGTGTTGACATCCTGTGGGTTTGGACAAATGCATGATATAAAATGACATGTATTCACTATTAGAATTTTATACAAAATATTTTCACTGCCCTAAAAATCCTTGTACTCCATCTGTTCATCTCTCCCTCCCTTTTAACCCCTAGCAACCACTGATCTTCTCACTATTTCCAAAGTTTGCCTTTTCCAGAGTGTCATTTAGAGAGGCTTCTTTCATTTAGTAATACACATTTGAGATTCCTCTATGTCTTTTCATGACTTGATAGCTCAGTTCTTTTGAGTGTGGACTAGCATTCCACCATCTGCATGTAGCAGAGTTTCTTCACATAATGAAAGACATTTTGATTTCTTCCAAGTTTTGGCAGTTATGAATAGAGCTGCTATACACATCTGTGTGCAGTTTTTGTGTGGAGTATTTTCTGTTCTTTTGAGGAACAATCAAGGAGTGTGCTTGCTGGATCATATGGTAAGAGTATGTTTTCTTTTGTAAGAAACTGCCAGACTCTCTGCAAAGTAGCTGTACTGTTGTTCATTCCCTCCAGCAGTGAATACGGGTTCTTGTTGCTGTATATTCTTATCAGCATTTGGTATTAAGTGTTCTGGAATTTGGCCATTCTAATAAGTATATCATTGTTGTTTTAATTTGTATTTCCTAGATAATCATGGATTATGAAGCATCTTTTTGTATATTGTTTTAGGTCAAGGCTTTTTTTTTATTATTGCACTGTAAGAGTTTTTTGTATATTTTGGGTAACAGTCCTTATCAGTACATATTATCAGATTTTTTTTTCAAATATAGTCTTCTAATCTGTGGTTTGTTCTTTTGTTTTCTTGGCAGTTTCTGTCATAGGGCAGAAATTCTGAATTTTTTTTAAAAAAGATTTTATTTTATTTGAAAGGCAGAGTTACAGAGAGGAATGGCCACAGTGGCTGGGGCTGGGCCAGGCCAAAGCCAGGAGCCATGAGCTTCATCCAGGTCTCCCACTTGGGTACAGGGGCCCGGGCACTGGGCCATCTGCTGCTGCTTTCCCAGGTGCATCAGCAGGGAGCTGGATAGGAAGTGGAGCAGCTGAGATTTGAGTCAGTGCCCATATGGGATGGCAGCGTTGCAGTCAGTGGTTTAACCCATATGCCACAATGTTGGCCCTTGATATTCTGAATTTTTATAAAGTCTAGCTTATGTACTGTGGGTTGTGCCTTTGAGATTTTTGCAGACCTTCTCCTATGTTATCTTCTAGGAGGTCTAAATTTGTTTTGTATTTAGTTCTGTGATACATTTTGAGTTAATTTTTGTGAAAGGTATGAGATCTGTGTTTAGGTGTTTTTTTTTTTTTTTCTTTTTTGCATCTGGATGTCCAGATAGGAACTGTATTTGTAATTGAGCTCTAAATAGCCAATAGTAGTTAGTGTTTACCAGATTGAACAACACTTTGTATAGTACCTGGGTTTCTTCTTAGCTGTTGGCCATCCATGGGCTTTTTAAAGATGCTCTTATTTTATTTGTCACTCTAATCCTCCCTTCTAAACTTCAAGCATTTATTGCTTTAACAACTGTCTCCTTACTAGGAAAAGAATGCTTTCATTTCTGCTAGCAAACATTAAGCTTAGTCTGCTGGTCTTTGCTCTTATCCCGTTTGGTGTCTGCTTCATCACTCACCCAAAAAGCTTTCTTTAAGGAATGATGTGTTTGTTTGCTGCAGCTTTGCTGGAATGGATTTTCCAATTAAGGTCACATAATTACTTATTCCTGCTAATGGTTCTGTAGGTTCTTCTCAGAATTTGTTTGAAGATGGCAAATCTTTTTTATCCCACTGTTTATAATTTGGTATACATGGCCAGGTAAATTTTAAGCCTGCTTCCTTTACAAAGACTGACAAAGTGATATTCCAGAACAAAATTGAGATTCCAGGATTTCCTCAATTTGAATATCCTGTTAACTTAGAGTGAGGGAGAGACAGAGAGATTGGTCTTCCATCTGCTTGTTCACTCCCTAGATGGCCACAATGGCCAGCACTGGGCCAGGCTGGAGCTGGGAGTTTCTTCTGGGTTTCCCACTTGTGTGACAGGGACCCAGGTACTTGGGCAATCATCCACTGATTTCTCAGGCCATTAACAGGGAGCTAGATTGGAAGTGGAGCATCCAGGACTCAAACTGGCATCCACATGGGATGCCAGCTTTGCAGGCAGCAGCTTTTTCCTGCTACACCACAATGCCAGCCCCTGTCCTTTGAGTAATCAGTGAGCTGGCTTTGGATTTAAAAGCTAAGATTATATTTTCTGAAATACTAGCATGTTCCATTTTAAGTCCCTTCAGAATTGATAATGTGTCTGAATCAGAACATTCTGATTCCTTCCCTTCCCTGAGCTAATGTGTGAGGTACTCCTGAAAAGAACTGGGAGAGCTGCTGGAACTGGTGAAGCCTGCTTTGCTCTCTGGTATAGCTTCTATGTCTGCAGTTTGAACAAACTTTGCAAACAGAGGATTCCAGCTTTAATTTCACACCATTTTGAGAGCCACCTCAGTTGTTAGAGACAAGTGGAATGAAAACAAGACAAGGTGGAGGCTCCTCACCAGTTTTCTTGGTGTATAGTTTTAGCATAGTCCTGGTCAGTAGTGAAAGGTGGTGTGGTCCAGGGCCCTCCATTTGCTGGGGTCCTCTAAGCACCCATTTTTGGAAGAATAAAGGGCTTTATATATTCACTGTTTGTTCTCTACTTAAGCTTTTCTTCTTATGCTTGCAAAGGATAGCTGTAAAATTAGGAACCAAGCATCAGGCAAGGGAAACAGCAAAATGGATGTTTCTGAATGGGTTGGACACAGGGAATTGAATATTAAAGGAGGTCAGTCTGATAAACTGGGAACCTGATCCCTGCCTGGGAGTTTACTTATAGGGAGTGGCCCTCACTTTTCAAGAGCCACATGCATCACAGTACCTGTTTGGAGTGGTGACTTGGTGCTCTGTGCTTGCCAATGTTCTGCTCAAAACTAACATTCAGTGACTAGCTCTGGGAACTTGAGATCAGTGTATTGTGCTGTGGGAACATCTAAGAACCCTGTTGTCTGTGGCTTAATAAGTAGATTTGAATAACGTAAACTTGCCCTACACGCTGTATGAAATAGAAGACATTAACAGCAAAGTAGGCCGGCGCCGCGGCTCACTAGGCTAATCCTCCGCCTTGTGGCGCCGGCACACTGGGTTCTAGTCCCGGTCAGGGTGCTGGATTCTGTCCCAGTTGCCCCTCTTCCAGTCCAGCTCTCTGCTGTGGCCAGGGAGTGCAGTGGAGGATGGCCCAAGTACTTGGGCCCTGCACCCCATGGGAGACCAGAAGTACCTGGCTCCTGCCATCGGATCAGCGCGGTGTGCAGGCCGCAGCGTGCCGGCCGCGGCGGCCATTGGAGGGTGAACCAATGGCAAAAGGAAGACCTTTCTCTCTGTCTCTCTCTCACTGTCCACTCTGCCTGTCAAAAAATAAAAATAAATTAAAAAAAACAAAAAACAAAAAACAAAACAAAGTAAGGGTCAGGCATTGTGGCATGGTGGGTTAAGCTATTATTTGTGATGCTGGCATCCCATATCAGAGTGCCAGTTCTAATCCCAGCTGCTCTGCTTTTCTTCTGGTCCAGCTCCCTGCTAATGTACCTGGGAAAGCAGTGGGTGATGATCGAAGTACTTAGGTCCCTGTCACCCACATGGGAGACCTAATGGAGTTCCTGGCTCCGGGCTTTGGCCTGGCCCAGCCCAGATTATAGCAGCCATTTCTGCAGTGAAGAAGCAGGTGGAGATTTTGCTCTCTCTATGAGTCTGTCTGTCTGTCTGTCTCTCTTTCTCTGTGTGTTACACTGTGTCACTCTGCCTTTCAAATAAATAAATTTAAAACAACAAAGTAATATCAACTTAAAATTGGATCCATTTAAGTTGTTTTTGAGCTACCTTTGATTCATTCCTCTTGTAGAGATTATAAATTTTTTTTTTTTTTAAGATTTAATGTTTTTATTTGAGAGTCAGAGTTACAGACAGAGAGAGACAGAGTTCACTCCCCAAATGGCCACAATGCCCAGAGCTGCGCCAATCCCAAGCCAGTAACCAGGAGGTTCTCCTGGTCTCCCACGCAGGTGCAGAGGCCCAAGGACTTGGGCCATCTTCCACTGCTTCCCAGGCCATAGCAGAGCTGGATCAGAAGTGGGGCAGCTGGGACTGGAACCGGCGCCCATATGGGATGCTGGTGTCACAGGCTGAGTCTCCGCCTACTACATCATAGTTGAAGCCCCAAGAGACCATCACAGTATTTTTTCTCAGTTAGTACAAGATAAGATTTTATTATTATTAAGATAAGATTATTTTCTAGTTGGAAGTAGTTTATACAGCTGAGAGGAGAAGGGGTTGGAAGGTGAGGTGAGAGATGCACATTTTGTCACCTGTAGTTCATTTTTACTTAAGCAGCTTGGATATTCTCAAGAACTGGATGAATGCCAAGCTACCAGTAATGAAGAATAATGTAGTCTCTCACTGAATATGCATCTGTATTGCATGGCTGATACGTAAGGCATGTACACACCATGTACATTTTAGGTATATTTAGATGTTTTTATAGTTCAGTACTGGCCGGCGCCGTGGCTCACTAGGCTAATCCTCCGCCTAGTGGCGCCGGCACACCGGGTTCTAGTCCCGGTCGGGGCGCCGGATTCTGTCCCGGTTGCCCCTCTTCCAGGCCAGCTCTCTGCTGTGGCCAGGGAGTGCAGTGGAGGATGGCCCAGGTGCTTGGGCCCTGCACCCCATGGGAGACCAGGAAAAGCACCTGGCTCCTGCCATTGGATCAGCGCGGTGCGCCGGCCGCAGCATGCCGGCTGCAGCGGCCATTGGAGGGTGAACCAACGGCAAAAGGAAGAGCTTTCTCTCTGTCTCTCTCTCTCACTGTCCACTCTGCCTGTCAAAAAATAAAAAAATAAAAAATATAGTTCAGTACTAATCAAAGTGCCGCTTGGTAGTGTGCAGGGATCGTAGCAGCACACAGCTGAGAAGCTCTCAGTCAGTTGCAGTTGTCAATACAAGTGAAGCAAAGCCTGCTTATTCCTTTCTCCATTAGGGCTTTTACTCTCAATCTGACATCACTTTATTTCAAATGCTTTGTAAGACAGGAAGAACTCTGAGATAAGTATCAAAACCCACTTCCTTTTATGTATGCAAATAAAGAGCTCTGACAGCAAAATTGATGCTTCTGGTTGAAAATCTATAGAAAGTCTCCTGATATATGGATACATTTCAGCCAGATTAGGAACAGAGAACAGAACTTTGAAACTCAGTCCAATGTTAAAACTAGTTTATTGATTTTTATGTAAAGTGGGAAGAACTTAAAAGTTTGTAGTTTTCAGACAGGAAACAATGTTCAGAGAAGAGCTTTATGGAATCCCAAGCCGAGGTAAGGTGGAACAACTCCAGAAAAGTGATTACTAAAATCAATGATTTTTTGCTTTTTTATGATCATAGCTAAATAAATTCTCTTTTCCCTAGAAATAAAATGTAAATATTGCAGCATGAAGTAACTGCAGGACTATTATTTTTATCTTCAGAAAAGAAAAGTTTTGTTGGGTTTTTGGAATGCTTTTAGAGTACTTTACAAAAAGTTAATTATGAGAAATGCAGCTTTTCGCTTATTATAAGGCATCTTAATTATTTCTGGGAACATAAATTAATGTTAAAATTACTGCTTATTAAGAATCACTTTAAGTCAGCAATTTGGTATGTTGTGTCCATAGTTACTTGACATGCCATGAATCCACTTGCCCTCTAATATCTGTGTGGAGTCACTGAAGGAGGATGATTACGTCTCTTGGGAGGTATACGAGGGGCCGGGCCCCTTTCGGCACACTTAACTCGGTGGGCTGAGCTCTCTGGGAGGTGATCTCTTTTCCTCTGAGGTGCCTGCTGATGGCTGAGTTAGATGGAGGTGTTCTGTGCTGTGTTCAAGCTGACGACGCTGTTAGGGCTTGGAGAGTCAGCGAGAATCCAGAAGCAGGGAAAGGTGTGCAGGAATGGCCTTTCCCATTTTGGTTATGAAACTCTGAAAATAGGCAAAACCACAGCCTGCCCAGTTTGGAATAGAATGTATTGGAATGGGAAGAAGGGACTGAGAGAACTAAAAGTCTGTTACTTAGAGGAATGAAGTTTCTCTTAGAAAGCCTGTTAGAATAAAACCTCACCTTCAAGAGAAACCATTCTGGGTTTTTTCAGTCTTCATTTTAAGCATATTTGGGCTGGCTTTGTGGTGTAGAGGATAAAGCCTCTGTCTGCAACACTGGCAGCTCATATGGGCACTGGTTCAAGCAGCAGATGGAAGACCTCTATCTGTCTTTCCCTCTCTCTCTCTCTAACTCTGCCTTTCAAGTTAATAAAGTAATTTTTTTTTAAAGAGTAAGTTCTTCGGCCGGCGCCGCGGCTCACTAGGCTAATCCTCCACCTAGCGGCGCCGGCCCACAGGGTTCTAGTCCCGGTCAGGGCGCCTGATTCTGTCCTGGTTGCCCCTCTTCAAGTCCAGCTCTCTGCTGTGGCCAGGGAGTGCAGTGGAGGATGGCTCAAGTGTTTGAGCCCTGCACCCCATGGGAGACCAGGAGAAGCACCTGGCTCCTGGCTTTGGATCAATGCGATGCGCTGGCCGCAGTGCGCCGGCTGCAGCAGCCATTAGAGGGTGAACCAACGGCAAAAAGGAAGACCTTTCTCTCTGTCTCTCTCTCTCACTGTCCACTCTCCCTGTAAAAAAAAGAAAAAAAGTGAGTTCTTTTATTTTACTCTGTTGAGCATTCCACATTGGAGGACCAGTTATAATCTTGAAAACTTGTTCAATCCAGTAGTTTATTTACAACAACCACAGTCACATTTCTGTTTAAGAGCTCTTTTGTTTTAATCTTTTTATATTTTAAGTAATTTTATTTAATATTTTATTTACAATAACCAAAGTAACATCTCTGTTTAAACTTCTTGATATACTCTTTCTTTCTCCACAATGTACTATTTGCAAGATATTTGGGAAACAAATTGGAATGAGATGTGGCCTACATACTGAAAGTTTTTTCAACATATAGAAGTTTTCTCAGATATAGAAAAATAAACAGATAATAGCAAATGATGTAAAAAGATAGATGTGTTAATATTTATCATATTATGGCAGCAGTAGAGAAGGGATAATAAGTTAAGTTTACTTTATTAAGTATTGTATGAGCTATAGAAAGTTTTTTGATACTGTCATTCCCTTGAGAGTTTAATCACTAAAGAAGACAGGTTGTGTGGCCAGCACGTTGGTGCAGTAGGTTAATCCTCCACTTGTGGTCCTGGCATCCCATATGGGCACCGGTTCTAGTCCTGGCTGCTCCTCTTGCAGTCCAGCTCTCTGCTGTGGCCTGGGAAAGCTGCAGAAGATGGCCCACATGCTTGGGCCCCTGCACCAGGGTGGGAAGACTTGGAAGAAGCTCCTGGCTCCCGGCTTCGGATCGGCGCAGCCCTGACCATTGTGGCCATTGGGGAGTAAACCGGTGGTCGGAAGACCTTTCTCTCTGTCTCTCCCTCTCACTGTCTATAACACTACCTCTCAAATAAATAAAATAAACCTTTAAAAAAAAAAAAAAGAAGACGACGATGACAAGTTGTATTGTGGAAAGGAAAGAAATGTTAACTGGGACAGGCCTTGGGTATGGCAGTTCAGATGCTGCTTGGGTGCCCTCATCCATGTGGGAGTGCCTGGGTTTGAGTCCCAGCTCTGCCGCTATTCCAGCTTGCTGTTATTTACACCTTGGGAAGCAGCAGGTGGTGACTCAAGTAGCTGGATTCCTGCTGCCCACGTGGGAGGCCTGGATTTAGTTCTTGGCTTCCTGCATTAGCCCCGCACAGTCTGAGCTGTTGCTGGTATTTGGGGAATGAACCAAAGGATGGGAAGCTCTGTGTCTGTCTTGTCTTTCTGTCTGTCTCTCTGCCTCTCAAAAATAATTTTTTTAGAGATTAAGAAGATTCTTTCTTAGGAAAGCTAAAGGAAGGATCAGAGAGAACATTACAACACTGAAGACTCAAATTTTCATAGCCATGTACCAAGAGGAACAAGATTGTGTATTGTTGATTTCACTCTCTTAACCGTTAAATGTCTGAATTAATAATATGCTGTTTTTTTGTTTTTCTATTCAGTAGTGTTCAGGTTAGTTCAGTAGATTCCTAACAACTCATAAAGGTTAAAATAATTCATTTGCATTGTGATATTGACAATCATTTGTGTGGACAGTGTTTCCTTGGTACATGATGACATTAGTTGTGGCATTGTTTTGTTTGAAGCAAAGCTAATAATAGAGAAATGTTGGGATTATTTTTCTGTAAGTGTCACTTTGTAAGAAAAGATTGTTACGGTACTATGATAGACTTAAAATGAAGCCTTAATGTTTATTTTGAACAGACTTTTATTTTTATCATCTTAATCCTTTTGAAGATGTAGTCCTAGGATGCTTCGGTTGCTTATTTTCTGACTGGCACCATTCTCATGCCCTTCTCACTCATCCCCTACCTGTCACCAGCTAGCATCCTTAATTAGCTGATACACTCAAATCACTCATCCTAAGGGACCAGTTTTCCCCCCAGTCTATTGCAGACTGATGTTTTTATAAAATGCAGTAAGAATTGCCCAGAAATATCAAATTTCTATGAAAGTATCTAAATGTTTGTTCTCGTTTTACACTTATCTTGTTGCAAACTGGTCTGTGGATTGAGTAGCATGTGAATAGCAATGGATTAGATGGACCATATTGAAACAGCAATGGTTTACTTGACTTTTCAGCCTTATAAAACGATAAAATGATCTTGGCCTTTTTTGTTTTTTCCAAACTAAAAGCAGAAAGTAACTCTACTCCCATGAATAAATAATTAACTATAATGATTCTTTACCAGCACTGCAGAGATACTCATTAATCATGCTGTCTATTGATCATGACTCCTCCTTCCTCAAAAGGACCCACTGTCTTGACTGGCCTGATATCTTCAACTGAAAGGGGATGTAAACATTTCTTCGTGTTACCATGTTCCTGTATTTCACCCTGCATCTCTGTAGTGTGTGTGTGTGTGTGTGTGTGTGTGTGTGTTTTAAGATTTCTTGGCCGGCGCCGCGGCTCACTAGGCTAATCCTCCACCTTGCAGCGCCGGCACACCGGGTTCTAGTCCCGGTCGGGGCGCCGGATTCTGTCCCAGTTGCCCCTCTTCCAGGCCAGCTCTCTGCTGTGGCCCGGGAGTGCAGTGGAGGATGGCCCAGGTGCTTGGGCCCTGCACCCCATGGGAGACCAGGAGAAGCACCTGGCTCCTGCCATCGGATCAGCGCGGTGTGCCGGCCGCAGTGCGCCGGCTGTGGCGGCCATTGGAGGGTGAACCAACGGCAAAGGAAGACCTTTCTCTCTGTCTCTTTCTCTTACAGTCCACTCTGCCTGTCCAAAAAAAAAAAAAAAAAAGATTTCTTTATTTATTTGAAAGGGAAAGGCAGAGTTACCAAGAGGGAGAGGCAAAAACAAAGAGTGGGTAGAGGCCTTCCATCTGCTGGTTCACTCCCCAGATGGCCTCAATGGCGAGGGCAGGGCCAGACTGAAGCCAGGAGCCAGGAGCTCTATCTGCGTCTCCCGTGTGGGTACAGGAGCCCAAGCACTTGGGCTGTCCCTCACTTCTCTCACAGGTGCTTTAGCCGGAAGCTGGATCGGAAGTTGGACAGCCGGGATTCTTAACTAGTGCCCATATGGAATGCCGGCACTGCAGGTGGTGGCTTTACACGCTGTGGCACACTGCCAGCTCCTTTGTTTTCATTTTTAATTTTTATTCATTTTCATTTTATTTGAAAAAGAGAGATCTTCCATCTGCTGCTTAACTCTGCAAATGTCTACAACAGCCAGGGCTGGATCAGAGCAAAGCCAAGAGCCAGGAACTCTACCTAGGACTGCCATGTGGGTGGCAGGGACCCAAGTTCTTGGACCATCACTTGTTGTCTCTAGTAGGAACCTGGATCTCAACAAGAGAAGCCAGGACATGAACCAGGTACTCTGATAGGGGATGTGGGTGTGCCAGGTGGCATCTTAGCCACTGCCCCAAATGCCTGCCACAAGATTTTGCTTTATAAAATTTGCTGTGTTGCATAATTTTAATAGCTTTGATCATCTCTTCTATTTTCATTATGCATTTAAGCTTTTGATTATTTAAATGTTTGCCCCTAATTATTCATTGTCAGATACCAGCTTTGCAACTACTGTTTTCTTCATATTTAGAATCATTTATCCTATCTTTACCCTCTTTTTATTTTTATCCATTCTTTGTTTTAGATGTTCGTTAGAAAATGTGTTGACCCTTACAGTAAAGTGTTTGGAACAATAGGGCATTTCATTCTTAGTTCAGCAACGTAGCTCTCCAAGGATTCAGGAAAAAATACCCATGTATTGTATTTGCAGCTATCTTGTGAGTTTGCAACTCCTTTATAATTTTTAAAAAATTGAACATTAAAAATATGGCCCCTCCAGTGAGCCACCTCTCCACTAAAGCAGTATTCATCAAAATCCTTCATTTCAAATACAAAAAAAGAGAAGCGACTTAGTAAAAGTCATGGAGAAGGCTTTGGATCTACCCCAATTTCAAGATAGTATAATTATGATAGCAAAAGGGAATACTGATGGGCAACATCTTCAGTAAAACTAGGTGGGAAATTGCCCATAAAACCCCACAGTGAAAGCAGATGGCACCAAATAAGATGGTTAAAATCTTTACCAAAAAAAGGTTATGGCAGCAGAGATGATGAACTATAAAATGTTAAAAATAAATGTCACTGGCACTTTTCTTATTGTCATGGGAAATCAACTTTGTTTCCTGTATTAATTCCATAGGACACTCATTTAAAAATTACCAGGGCAGCTCTTGTGGCAGAGTGGGTTAGGGACACCTGTATCTCTTGTCTGAGTGCTGGTTCAAGTCCCAGCTGGTCTGCTTCTAATTCATTTCCTTTCTAATACAACCTGGGAAACAGATGATGGCTCAAATGCTTGAGCCCCTGGTCCTCACGCAGGAGACCCAAATGGAGCCAGTGCATGGAAGATATCATCCTTCCTTTCTTGTTCTGCCTTTCAAGCAGATGAAAATAAATAATAAATAAACTTAAAAATCGTAAACTCCGTGGCTAAAAGCAAAAATTATTCTCTCAGTTCTGGTGACTAGAAGTCAGAAATCACAGTGTTATTATAGCAGGGTTGATTGCTTCTGAAGTCTCTGATGAAGAAGCAATTCTGTCCCTGTCTCCTAGCTTCTGGCATCTGACAATCCTTGGCTCATCAATCCATCACACCAATTTCTGCCTCTTCACATAGCATTCTTCCTATGTCTTCATGTCTTCAAAAGGACACTAGTTTTGTTGCATTAGGTTGGGCTTACCTTAATCCAATATGACTTCATCTTAGCTAAATTATCTCTGTAATAACTCTTGTTTCCAAGTTCACATTTTGAAGTACCAGGAATTAGGATTTCACCTTATCTTTCTTGGGATACACAATTTGAACCACAACACTCACTTTTTATTTACCCAGTTTTTCAGAGCTGTACAGATGGTATGAACTAACACTTTGCCATTCATTGAATATAAGCTAATGTAAGTGCTACCTGGACTAATAGAGTTTTTCCCAAGGTCAAGGAATTGTACTAAGCATTCATTTATTCTGGCACATATTCTCATCCGGCATATGAGATACAGATTTATGACCTGTGTATTTTCCACATATTTATGTTAAGCTTTAATTCAAGATAAAATATCTCTACAAAGAAATTTCTCAGCCCAGCTGATGTCTTCTAGCGAATAATCCCAGAGTTTTTAAGGGAGGAAAACAACAATATTACACAAATTTTTTCAAAGAACCAAAACTCAGAAAATATTACCAACTTGTTTTGTGATACCACATTTTGACAAGGACATTATTGAGGGAGAATACTAACAAATATTTCTCCTCCATAAAACAAAAATAAATAAATAAATTTGGAGTATTAGTAAATCGAATCTAGTGATATATAGTTTTAATAATACACCATGACCAAGTTGGTTTTTCCTAGGAGCATGAAGCTGGATTACTACATAAACAGGATAAAGCGAAAAATATCATCTCAGTGGGTGAAGAAAAGGCACTGACAACAGTTCATCTGTTTATAACAAAATGCTAAAATAGCATGCTAAAAATGAGAAGAGAACTAATTTCATCTGATAGTGTCTGCAAACAACCTACTGTGTAGTCAAGCTCATTCTTAAAATGTCATAACACTCAGTTTTGCAATAAGATAAAGCATGGAAAGAATTATTAACATGAACATTTTTATTCTGCTCTTTCCTAGAAGCCCTAGCAAATTATAACATGGCAAAAAAGGAAAGAAGAAGACACCTCCCATTATTAATAAAACATATGTTTGCATAGGTAGACAGTTCTAAGAATAAGGCTGTGTGTAAATCATCACATTTTAAAAGTTAGTAATATTGTTGCATACAATGTCAGTGCTGGGAGGGGAGATCTGTTGTGGTGGATTCGTTCTGAGAGGAGGAGCATGGTGGGTGCAAGAGGCGCAGAGTCACCACACAGACCCCGGGAGTAGGGTGAAAGCAGGCTAGAGGTGAGCAGCCAGCAGACTCGTTTATTTCAGTTGGTACAACAGCTTATATAGCCAAGACAGCCAGTCCGGTCAAGGGGCGGTTTATGCCCTAACCAATCACAGCCTGTTGCCAGGCAGGCTCCGTTGCCAGGTAGGTTTCAAAGCCATTCCTGGTAACTGACACTTGCTTGCCAGCGGCCATCTTGGCATGGCCTTCTTGTTCCACCAGAGATCTACCTTGGACCCTGGCTTTGTTGCAGGTACTTACTGGATATGTTCAGATTGCAAGCCCCTGGTCACTCCTTATCCATGCTGTCTCTCAAGGTTATGTTTATAGTGAGAAATCTTGAAATGAGGCAGTGTTTCATACCAGGCAATGTGTGCTTACTTCTGCTTCCTATAAAAACAGTGAATCCCTTAAGCTCAGTGTTCTTGGCTGAGATGCAAACCCACTGCGCAAGTAGCATGCACCTGAACCTATATCTCATTGCCAATGCGCGATGGGAGGGTATAGGGAAACTGACACAGAAGGGATGGTGATACTCACACTGCTTTGCTATGCTGTGAGTAATCAAATCCTTTTTTCTTAGATCCAGGAATTATATATCTTCTGTCAACATTCATGGACCACTAAGAGGCTTATTAGCTTACAAACAGGGTAAAATCTCAGGTTCCTCATAAACACTGGCAGTCTACTTTTGAAACTTAACTATTTCTATTAGCAGTGAGCAACTACGAAATGAAAAAATTCTAAGGTCATTCACATCATAATTTAAAATGTCAAAAATTAATAAAAAGTATGTGCAAAAACTTTGTGCATAGCTTTGATAAAATAAACTACAAAAGGGGCCGGTGCTGTGGCACAGCAGGTTAACGCCACGGCCTGAAGCGCCAGCATCTCATTTGGATGCCGGTTCTAGTCCTGGCTGCTCCTCTTCTGATCCAGCTCTCTGCTACGGCCTGGGAAAGCAGTGGGAGATGGCCCAAGTCCTTGGGCCCCTGCACCCGCGTGGGAGACCCGGAAGAAGCTCCTGGCTCCTGGCTTTGGATCAGCGCAGATCCGGCCATTGTGGCCATCTGGGGAGTGAACCAGTGGATGGAAGACCTCTCTCCCTGTAACTCTTTCAAATAAATAAAAAAAAATTTAAAAATATTTAAAAAATAAATAAATTACACAAAATGTTATAATATACAACATTCAAGGACTGAAGGGCTCAGTACTGTAAACATGTCAGCAGAATTCAGCCTAGTTTATGGATAGAATGTGATCTTAACCAGAATCTCAGCTGATTGATTGTAGAAGGGGAATGTGGAAACATGGAACCAGAAAGAGTGCAGAAACCAAACATCTGTAAGGTCATTTGACTTGTGACATAAAGGGCAATGAAGGGAAGGAAATGATGTGAAGGAAAGAACATTCCTTTAATTTGGTATCCAAATGGGGGAGGCAAATGAAATAAATAAAAAATGATCCTTATTTCACAATACAGAAAATTTCCAGATGGCTTATAGGTCTAACATGAGAAAAGAATCAAACTTTGATTTAAAGTTCCACTGGGGCTGGCATTGCAGCACTGGTTTGTGTCCCAGCTGCTCCCCTTCCCATCTAGCTTCCTGCTGATGCTAATGCACCTGAGAGAGCAGCAGCAGATGATCAAGTGCTTGGGCCCGTGCCATCCATGCACGTGGCAGACACAGAAGAAGCTCCTGTCTCCTGACTTCGGCCTGACCCATCCCTGACTGTTGTGTGGCCATCTGGAGAGTTAACCAGTGGATGGAAGACACTCCCTGCCCCCTATCTCTCTCTTTCTGTAACTCTGACTTTCAAATATATCTTTTTTTTTTTTTTTTTTTTTTGACAGGCAGAGTGGACAGTGAGAGAGAGAGACAGAGAGAAAGGTCTTCCTTTTGCCGTTGGTTCACCCTCCAATGGCCGCCGCGGCCGGCGCGCTGCGGCCGGCGCACTGCACCGATCCGATGCCAGGAGCCAGGTGCTTTTCCTGGTCTCCCATGGGGTGCAGGGCCCAAGCACCTGGGCCATCCTCCACTGCACTCCCGGGCCACAGCAGAGGGCTGGCCTGGAAGAGGGGCGACCGGGACAGAATCCGGCGCCCCGACCGGGACTAGAACCCAGTGTGCCGGTGCCGCTAGGCGGAGGATTAGCCTAGTGAGCCGCGGCGCCGGCCTTCAAATATATCTTTTTAAAAAATAAACAGAGGCCAGCATTGTGGTGTAGTGGGTAAAGCCACTGCCTGCTATGCCAGTCTCCCATATGGGTGTCGGTTCGAGTCCCAGCTGCTCCACTTCTGATTCAGCTCCCTGCTAATGGCCTAGAAAAAGCAGCAGAGGGTGGCCCAAGTGCTTGGGTCCCTGCTACCCACATGGGAGACCTGGAAGAAGCTCCTGGCTTCAACCTGGCCCATTCCTGCCTGTTGGTGGCCATCTGGTGAATAAACTAACAGCTGGAAGATCCCTCTCTCTCTTCCAAGTAAATTAATGAATTTTAAATAAATAAATAAATAACAAGATATCTCTTGTTAATAAAAGGAAAATAAACATACAACTAAAAATGCAACAGTAAAATAATGAATTTATAATAAAAATAAAATGGAAGCTACTAAGTTCAAATGTAGAAACAATAGTTAACAGACAAAAAAGAATTGGTTTCAAAATGAATCAATAAAATGGCCAGTGTTTCGACACAGCAGGTTAAGCTGCTGCTTGTGTTGCTGGCATCCCATATTGGAGTACTGGCTCAAGTCCCAGCTGCTCTGCTGCTGATCCAGCTCCCTGCTGATAGGCTTGGGAAAGCAGCAGAAGATGGCTCAAGTACTTGGGCCCCTGCCATCCATGTGGGAGACCCAGATGGAGTTTCTGGCTCCTGGCTTTGGCCTTGCCCAAATAGTTGAGCTATTTGGGGATGGTGGTGAACTAAGAGATGGAAGATCTCTCTGTCTCTATTAAATTTTTAAAAAATGATAAACTGGGCAAACTTGTCAACCTACTTTGGGGAAAAGCAACAAATATACCAATTCAGTCTGAGATATTAAGATTCTAAAACAATCATACTTTTCCACGGTGCTTTAAAAACTTTGATTAAATGAGATAGATTTTCCAGAATTCAATTTATAAGTTTGGTACACAACAATGGAGCCCACTAGTGACCAAGGTGTAAATAATAAGTTTTCATGGAAGTAGAGTTATAGTAGAACTCTCAAAAAAATGACCCACCCAGAAACTTCTTCAAGGAAATCCAGCCACAATCCTGTGTCTAGCGATCAAACATTCCTCACATTCTTAATGCTGTGTCAGAGCAAGAATAAAAGAGATGATCCAGATTCTTTTTGGAAGCAGATTTTCAGGTTTTTCCAGAGACTGCAGAACTGGCTCATTAATTTTGAGGCAAAATCTTTTTTTTTTTTTTGGACAGGCAGAGTGGGGAGAGAGAGACAGAGAGAGAGAGAGAAAGGTCTTCCTTTTGCCATTGGTTCACCCTCCAATGGCCGCCACGCTGCGGCCAGCGCACCGCGCTGATCCGATGGCAGGAGCCAGGTGTTTATCCTGGTCTCCCATGGGGTGCAGGGCCCAAGCACTTGGGCCATCCTCCACTGCACTCCCTGGCCACAGCAGAGAGCTGGCCTGGAAGAGGGGCAACTGGGACAGAATCCGGCGCCCTGACCGGGACTAGAACCCCGTGTGCTGGCGCCGCAAGGCAGAGGATTAGCCTAGTGAGCCGCAGTGCCAGCCAGGCAAAATCTTAAAAGCTTTTTCACATAGAATGCAACTACACATTACAAGTATATATCACAAATGAGATATTTTTATTTTAAGTGTGGTAACTGCTGGGCAATCCATTATTCATCATATTAATGGAACTAATGTGCAAAATGATGTGTCCATCTCTGTTCTTGATGAGAAGCCCTTTAATAACTTTAATACTTGATAAGATAGGGAAGTGATACACTTCTTTAACATGATGACTCAGTTGAAAAGTCAGCATCTTATTGGGGAACCACTACTGACTTACTCTTTAGGCAGAACAAATCAAGATAAGGCCCACTATCTCCATTCTCACTTAGCATTATGTTAGAGGTATTTACCTCAACACAGGTAAGCAAGAGAAAGCAGTTGGAGTAATATGCAGTAGGACTGAAATAAAGGTTAAGCTGCTTTCAGATGATATGATTTTATATCTGACAAAGAATCAGTGGATATTAATAAGGGAGAATTTAGTAAAGTAGCAGTATAAAAATAAAACTAACATAGCCATTGGCCATCTTGTAGATAATATTGAAGAGGACACATTTGTAGTAACAACATGAAAAACAACACTAATAGCTGGTCATTACCTTTGTGCGATAATGTGCAAAATACTGAATCAACTGAATAGCCAAAAATATGAAAATGGACTCATGTATTCTATATTCCAGGTTAAATTTCCCCAAAATTATAGAGATACAGAAAATATAAAACATGAAAAATATAATAAAACATGAAACCACCTATTAAAGGAAAACACTAGTGCATTTCTTTTAAAACTCAAACATAGTGAAACTTTTCATTGTTGCTTCTAGAAGCATGAGTTTTGGCATAGCAAATCCACTTCTGAGGCTGAATCTCGAAGATAACGCTGTCAGAAATATAAAACGTTACAAATTAAAACCAGTGCTTCTGATTTGAGAGTACATTTATGATGCAGATTCTTGGGCTTCACCCTTCGAGTTTCTGATTCAGTAAGTCTAGCCTTGGACCCAGTAATCTGCATTTCTAATAGATTTTTGGGTAGTGATGGTATGGTTATGACCATTCCATCTTAGGAACCCTTAGTTAAGATAGTGCAATAATAACCACAAAAGATCTGAAAGAACCCAGATACCTGTTTTGTCTGGTAGAAGACAAAGCCCTAACCCTAACCTATTGGACTTCTACGCAGCTGTTAAAGGAAGGAGGAAAATCTCTACTGTTCTAGGTTATTCTCCAGGATACATTAAGTGGAAGCAAGTAAAAGTGCTTTACATTTAATACTACATTATCTTTTGTTTAAAGAAATGAGTAAAAGGATTAAAATAGATCTATATTTTTATCACAAGTTTTAGATGCATTTTCTAGAAATATGAAATAAACAGTATATTTTAAATTTGTGGCATAATGACATAGATAAGTTGGTGTGGGATTTATCTTGGGTCTGAGAAACCAGACAGAACTACTAAACCATGTTCAGTTATCTTTATTTTTACTAATTATTTTGATAGATTCTTTGAAACTAACTAATAGAAAATAAATAATTATAATTTTATTAGGAACTGGGATTCTTAAGGGAGAAGAAAAAGGATAGAAATGTAAAATCAGAAAAGTGACAACCCATAATCTGAATTGTAATTTGGTATGTAAGCATGAATTCCGTTTTCTCTAAAACAAGCCTTGTTTTCTTGTTCCAACCAAGGAAAAGCCTTTGTACCAGTTTTATGGCAGTAGCAGTGAGCAATCCTTTCAATACCATGTCCGATTACAAAGATAATCGGAGTTCCTTGGAGAAGTGGCTGATCCCAGGCCATTAGTATGCATGATAGCAAAAAAGCAGCCTAGCTGTGCTAGAGCCATGTCCCAGTGCCAGTGTACAACTTGAAGGAGTTCCCTTTAGCTCAAAGTGGGACAAACTGAATGCCAGATCTTTTAACAGTTGCCTTGGATTTGAACATTTCAGATATGTGAACGTCTGTGTGTTGATAGCGATATGTAAACTCACTCATTTTACATACCAGGATGTCTGAATGCAGCGTGTTGACACATGTGCTTCCCCTACAGAGGCCCTAGTCAGGGAGACTGTTGCTTGCTTTTTCCAGCTTCTAGTTGCTGCTGACTTGCCTGTGGCCACATTAACTCCATTCTTTACAGCTGTCTTCACGTTGTCTTCTGTTTGTGCCGTATGGAGACCTTTGTGATTGGATTTAGAACCCCCTTGGATAACCAAGGATGATGAGCACATCTAAAGATCCTCAACCTAACCATACCCACCAGGACCCTTTTCTCAAATAAAGTAATAGTCACATTATAGAGATAGGGATGTGGTTGTATAGTTTTGGTGGCTACCATTATCAGCCTGCTGCAGGTACCTATTCGTTATGCTAAAAAAATTCAAAACTTGTCTGTACTCATTTAGCTATGTGTCCTTTGGCAAGCTTATTAAATTTATTTATATGTAAAATTTAGATAATACTGTGCAGATGAATATATATTTGAGATTTGTTTTTAGGAACTATGTTCCTAAAAATCTTCTTATTTAATACTATAAAGATGACAGCCAAACTGTATTATTTATCAATCTCTGGAAGTAGACTTTGGAGGAATTTGGGTGGGAGTTAAAAGAGAACTCATACCTGTCTTAGGAGAATTCAGTGAAATTCTGTCAAACCTAGGACAGTGTTAGACATAGAGATGAATGAAATTGTGTCTTTCAAGAAAAGTGTAGCAGCTGAAAGGAATTATGACAGAGAAGTTTTCAACATGTATTAAAATCTTTGTTGTCTAAGTCTGGTTTTCTGTTTATACTTCTGAGCCTTTAATATTTAAAAAATTAGAATAGTGTTTAAGTTTTATGGACGTTGAGACCAGTACTTAGCATTGAGTCGGCTCTGGGAGATGTGCTTCAGTGGCGGGTCCTGTAGTTCTCATGATTGATTTCAGGTGACTCTATATGCTTGTGGTTTCATTTGTTAGAAAAGGCTTCTGCCTTTAGGGAGATTGTTCCAAGCAGTTCTGGTAATTACAGGCTGCTTTATGATCTCTTTTCCAAGCTGCAAAGTAGAATTCTTTCTCTAATGGGGCTATTTTGGTTTGTTAGTTATGTGTTTATAATCAGGCAGTACTTGAGGCAGGTGAGGAAATGTGTATTCTCATATTTCTGCAAGACATTAAAAAGAAAATGAGCATAGTTAATTGTTAATAGTTTTAACTTTTATTTTAATTGTGTCCGTTTAAGACCACTGGCCAAGTCAAAAAGACAGTACAAATGTTGGCAAGAATATAGAGAAAACAGAATCCGAGTATATTCCTTGTAGAACTACAAAAGTCTCACTGACATTTGGAAAACAGCTTGGCAACTCCTTAAAAAGTTTGTTTCTGTAAGACCCAGCAATTCCACTCCTTGGAGAGAACTCAAGAGAATTGAAAACATTATACACAAAAGCCTGCACATAAGTCTTCTTCACTACATTGTTCATAGTAACCAAAAAGTGGGAACAATCCAAATGTTCACTAGCTGCTGAGTAGATAAAATGTGGCATATGCATATACTGGAGAAGCAGTCAGCAGTATGAAGGTGTGAGGAATGCACACACGTCACATTATAGGTGATCCTGGTACTATTCCAAGTGAGAAAAGTCAGACACAGGCGAGCACATGTATGATGCCATCCAAAAATGTCCATAACAGACATATTGGTGATATTTGCCCAGCTTTGTGATTGTTCTGAAAGCCACTGAATTTTACACTTCAAATAGGCGCATTGTATGGTGTATAAATTATATCTCCAAAGCTGGTTTTTAGAAAAATTGGTCAACATCAGAGAGCACTGATGATGATATGGCTTCTTTTCATTGCTCAACCATCACAAGAATTACCCATCTCCCCTTTTGTATCATGTATTTCAGCCAACAGTTCATGTGTTTGTTAGGTTTCGCTTTTTTTCTTCTTCTTCTTTTAACCCCCAGCCTTTCTATATGACAGTTCTTTCTCACATATAAACTTTCTCATAAAGGTTGGGGTACAGAGCTAAAGCTAAGTGTGAGAATAAGTCATTGTCTTGGTATTGACTGTTACCTTCTTTAAATAAGTGTATTACGTATTCCTTTCTTAGGAAAGTTAAGAGTAAATTCAGATAGTGTATTTTAAAACTCTCATCTATCAACTGTGCTTCTGCCTTTTCATGCCAGGCAGCTACTTGCCAGTGCATATTTTTTTATGGTATCCTAAAGCTTATTGCCTTGTCGTGAAATGCCATTGTGTGGGTCATACATTTTCAGGCCAACTTCTATGAAGGAAGAAGACATTGGTAAACAGGGTACTCTGAGAATCATCACTAGCAGTAGCAATTATAATTTCTTCTATTTTTTCTAAATAAGGGATCTGAATCAGCAATTCTATGTTCTTCCTTATCATAAATAATATTCTCATGCTGTTGAACTTTATAGAACATGAAGATTTACTTGCTGTTAATTGTGAGAGGTATAGTTTCACATGATTCAGGTTTAATTCAGCTCTCAAAGGCTATGGAAAACAGCTAGTGATGAAGTAGAGTGGTTCTGTCCTATGCAAACCTACATTGCATCTATTAGAGAAGTCTTAAGATGCCCTTTCACACTGATAAGCCTAAATCTGTTGATTTAAGGATTATAGCTATGGTAGAGTTTTTGTGGTGGAATGACCAACTGCCTGCATTTTAAATGGCCAGTCCACAGCTCCTACACTGCATCATGTTGTCAGGTTACACCTCAGATTTACTGTAAGAACATAGATGGTGTCCAGAGGGCTCCAGGATGCTTTCTCCGTTCTAATTTGATGACTCATGCTCTGTATTCTGCTTCCTGCTACTTCAGTCAATTCTATTGAAAAAGAAAAGAATGAAGCATAATGAATACTAACGCCCATCCCTTCCCCACCCTATATCATCCTTCACTAGAGCTTTCTGAGGAAATAAACTGAAAAGGGAGGCTGTTTGCAGTAGAACTCCAAAGAGAAGATCCTTCCCAAAAGTGTTTGGTCACAGTTCTTAATACAGGTAGCAGCATATGATTGGGGAAGGAATGGTGCTTTATCAACTCTGATAACAAAATTCCTCATTGTCACTTTCCGCCCCCCTCCAGTATCATCTAGACTGTCACAGCCATCCTCCCCCCAGTCAGGCTGCCCGTCACCCACCATTCCAGCAGGTAAAGTCATTTCTCCGTCACAGAAGCACAGCAAGAAGGCGCTAAAGCAGGTAAGCAGAGCTAGTCTGTTTTTTCAGAAGTGTATTCTCATTTTACAAACGCATGGCTTTGGCAGTCCTTGGCAAGTTCTTGAAAGCTCTTACAATCTGCTCTTGTCAGGGGAATTCCATGCAGTACCCTGATTTGTGTTTAGAGGCTGAGGCACTTCCATGTATAATAATGCCTGTGGTAGGTTTTTGGTTGTTATTCTTTACACCACGTTTTTAAAGTTTCTAATTCATTCCTTCTTTGCTATGAAGTGTGTGTATGTGTTAATCATGAATAGGTATTGAATTTCAGGTTTGTTTTCTTGGGATTTATTGACATGATCAGGTTGATTTTTCTCTTTTAATATGGTATGCAGAATTATACAGCTAGACTTTGTAATTTGCTGTAATTGGAGTAACCCCTACATTTTAAAAACATGCTACTGGGGGCCGGTGCTTTGGCATAGCAGGTAAAGCCACTGCCTGAAGTGCTGGCACCCAATATGGGTGCTGGCTCAATTCCCTACTGCTCCACTTTTGATCCAACTCTCTGCTAATGTACCTGGGAAAGCAGCGAAAGATGGCCTGAGTAATTGGGCCCCTGAACTGACGTGGAAAATCTGGAAGAAGCTCCTGGCTCTTTGCTTTGGTTTGATCCAACCCTGGCCATGGCGGCCATCTGGGGAGTAAACCAGCAGATGGAAGACCTCCCTCTCTCTATCTCTGCCTTTCAAATAAATAAATAAATTTTTAATTAAAAAATCCTTTTGAATTTTCCGTGTTAAGATTTTAGTTTGAATTTTGCAGTTTTCTTGTACTATCCTTACGCAGTTTTGAAAATAGGATTGCTTTTGTACCTTAAAATAAGTTGTATAGCTCTCTATAGTTTTGCAGATTTTGGAACAAGATTGTAGAAGTCATCTTTTCCTTGAAAATTCAGTAAATAAAACCTGTTAAAACTGTTTCCTGCTGTTATTTATACAGTTTTGTCTGCTATTAGTAACTTGATTTTTTTTTTTTGCTTTTTAAACCAATTTTGGAAATTTATTTTTCTTAGAAAATGGTCCACTTCTAAAATTTTCAAATATTGTTACAAACTTGTACATAGTACTTTTTTCTTTATTTCGTTTTATTTTTTTTTAATTTGAGGGAGAAAAACAGAACACTGGTCTGCTAGTTTACTCCTCAAGTACCCACAATGTTTGGAGCTGGGCCGGACCGAAGCCAGGACTTGGGAATTCTGTCCAGGTCTCCCAAATGGCTGGAAGGGACCCAACCACTTGAGTCGTCCTCTGTTACCTCCAAGAGTATTCGTTAGCAGGAAGCTGGAATCAGGAGTACAGCCAGGACTCAAACCTAGGCACTCTGATTGGGGATTCAGGTGTCCCACTGGCATCTTAACCACTGCACCAAACACCCACTTCCATAGTACATTTTTTTTTCTTTTTTAAGATTTGTTTTATTTATTTGAAAGGCAGAGTTAGAGAGATCTTCCATCAGCTGATTGACTTCCCAAAAGCCACAATGGCCAGGGCTCGGCTAGGCCAAAGACAGGAGGCTGGAACTCCATCTGGGTCTCCCATGTGGGTGGCAGAGGCCATCCATCATCTGTTGCTTTCCCAGGCACAATAGCAGGGATCTGGATCTGAAGTGGAACAACTGGGACATGAACTAGTTAGTACTCATGGGATACTGGCGTCTCGGGCTGTAGCTTGTCCCTCTGTGCCACAACACCAACCCCCACAGTACTTTATTATGTCTCCTCCTGGTTCCTCAGTGGTGTTCATTTATAATTGATATCTTCTTTTTTCCCAACACTACTTGCCAGTGATTATCTGTGTTACCACATTTTTCAAAGAATTCACTTTGAATTGTTTTTCAAAATGCAACTGATCAATAAATATAAATTCCCCAGTAATCAGAACACCATTAAAATAACATTACTTTTATCTTCAGATTTTGGTATAGAGAATTTAATTATATCAAGCATTGGTAAGTGTGTGGGAAAATAATTACTCACTTTCTGATTGCATGTAAATTATTATAGGAACTTTGAAGAGAAATTTTGTTATTATTAAATTTTTTTAAAGATTTATTTATTCATTTGAAAGAGTTACACAGAGGAGGCAGAGAGGGAGAGAGAGAGAGAGGTCTTTCATCCTTTGGTTTACTCCCCAAATGGCCATAACAGCTGGATCTGTGCCGATCTGAAGCCAGGAGCCATGAGCTTCCTCTGAGTCTCCCACGCGGGTGCAGGGGCCTCAGGACTTGGGCCATCTTCTACTGCTTTCCCAGGGCATAGCAGAGAGCTGGATCAGAAATGAAGCAGCCAGGTCTCGAACTGGCTCCCATATGGGATGCCAGTGCTTCAGGCCATGGCATTAACCCGCTGCGCCACAGCACTGGCCCCAGTTATTAAATTTTTAAATGCATATAACCCATGATTAACCAGTTAAACAATTTGGAACTTATGTTAGAAAAATGTATATGCAAAAAAACAGAAATATTTGGATTAAAGTTTATAATAGCCAGGAACTTGCAAATAACCAAATGTGATTAAATTTATTTTAGTGTGATCGTTCTGTGTGTTTGGATATGGTAAAATCACCAAGATAGAATGTTGAATTATTAGATTTTAAGTTTTACTACGACATCGTAAACATGCACATACCTACAAAATATCATAGAAATACTTTTGCACACAGCAACACACACAAACACACATATACACGTACACATACATTATACATATGTATATGTATAAAAGTGTTAATAAAAATTATGGTTAAAAGAGTTTAGCTTTGTGGGTCTTTAAAATTTATTTATTTATTTATTTATTTTTAAAGATTTATTTACTTATTTGAAAGAGTTACTCAGAAAGAGAAGGAGAGGCAGAGAGAGAGGTCTTCAATCCATTGGTTTACTCCCCAATTGGCTGCAATGGCCAGAACTGCGCCGATCCGAAGTCAGGAACCAGAGGTTCTTCTGGGTCTCTCACGTGGGTGCAGGGGCCCAAGGACTTGGGCCATCTTCTACTGCTTTCCCAGGCCATAGCAGAGAGCTGGAGAGGAAGTGGAGCAGCCAGGACTCGAACCGGTGCCCATATGGGATGCTGGCACTGTAGGCAGTGGCTTTACCCACTACGCCACAGCACTGGCCCCTAAACTTTATTTTTAAAAATTTATTGGAAAGGCAAAGTTGGAGGGAAGGAAGAGACAGAGAGAGAGGCCTTCTATCTGCTAGTTCACTCCATAAATGACTGCTATGGCCAGGGCTGTACCAGGCTCCTGGAGCTTATTCCAGGTCTCCCATATTGGTGGCAGGAGTCCAAGCACTTGGGCCATCTTCTGCTTTTCCAGACACATTAGCAGGGAGCTGAATCAGAAGTGGAGCAGCCAGGGCCGGCACTGAGGCTCACTAGGCTAATCCTCCATCTGCGGCGCCGGTATCCCAGGTTCAAGTCCCGGTTGGGGTGCTGGATTCTGTCCCGGTTGCTCCTCTTCCAGTCCAGTTCTCTGCTGTGGCCCGGGAAGACAGTGGAGGATGGCCCAAGTGCTTGGGCCCTGCACCAGCATGGGAGACCAGGAGAAGCACCTGACTCCTGGCTTCAGATCGGCACAGTGCGCTGGCCGTAGTGGCCATTTGGAGGGTGAACCAACGGAAGGAAGACCTCTCCCTCCCTCCCTCCCTCTCCCTCTCTCTCTCTCTCTCTCTCTCTCTCTCTCTCACTGTCTAACTCTGTCAAAAAAAAAAAAAAAAAAAGAAGTGGAGCAGTTAGGACACCAACCAGCACCCATATGTGATGCCAGTGTTACAGAGAGCAGCTTAACCTGCTATGCCACGATGCTGCTCCCTAGCTTTGTGTTTCAATTCATTGGTAGAAATATATTCACTTATTATCTGTGTAATTAAAATTAATAGAAAATTTTAAATTGTATAGGTTTTAAAGTGTTTAAATCAGTTACTAGATACTCATAAATTTGATAAGATTAGTTACTGTCTGCCTGAGTATTTTGTAGCACTTGAATTTCTGTTTTCTTTGGAAGACTTTAAGAAATACAGAGTACTGCTTCTCCACAGGGAAAGAGGAGTATTTTCTTACACTCTGTTGACTAATTCATGACATGTATACTACTCCTAAAGTGCACTTAGACAGTCCTGAGAGCCAAATGTTATGTTTTGTGTTTTCTAAGTAGTATCAACAGGGAAAGTTATATATGTTAGGTTGTTAGTATATAAAGTAAGTCGTCTTTGCTTCCGGCATTTGCTTCTCATAGTATTTGGTGAGAAAAATTACTTTTAACATTTTTAGGGTTTTGTTGTAATTTACTAGTTTTTAAATAGAACTAGGAAATTAGTACGAAGGAGTTTTTTAATATTTGTTTATTGACTATAAAATAGACTCAAGAATAGGATTTATAAACTAGCCAATGAGGAAAAACTGCAGTTTCTGATCAGAGGGTGTATAAATTATTCTACCATCTACCATTCTACCATGTAGTTATATGTCACAGCAGAAATGGATGAGTTGTTAAGTTTTACATGAACTAAAAATTACAACACTCTGAGTAGCAATGGATGAATACTGGTGACTGCTGCATAAGAAATGTGTGAACATCTTCTAACCTGATTGCACAGCACGAGAGAGTAAGCCAGAATCAGTGGTTAAGCAGCAGTGCCCTTTTTCACACATTGTGCTTGTGCCTCATCTATTATAAATGTGGTAGGTGAATCTCAGCCCAGTGTGTGACTCTTGGGTGTTTTTCTCCATTGGTCGCTTAGAGCAAGAGAGGAGCTGTCACCACTGTGCCCATGGCATAGCTGGAGAGATGTATGAATGTAGAAGAAACTGTATTCATAAGAGAGAACAGGAAAATCAAAGTAGCCAGTTATTCCACAATTTTCTGTGTGATGGTCTTGGGTGTGTGTGTGTGTGTGTGAGAGAGAGAGAGACAGACAGACAGGTAGGTCTGCTTCACTCCCCCAAATGCCTGTAGAAGTCTGTGCTAGAATCAGAAGCCAGGAACTCCATTTATTTGTAAACCACTGAATGAGGAAAAACTATGTGCAGTTTCTAGTTAAAGGGAGTTTAAATTATTGTACCTTCCAGGTGGGCACTATGGCATAGTGGATTAAGCCACTGCCTGCAGCACTGGCATCCCATATGGGCATCAGGTCAATTCCTGGCTACTCCACTTCTGATCCAGTCCCTGCTGGTATGCTTAGGAAAGCAACGAAAAATGGCCCAGGTGCTGGATTCCCTGCACCCATGTGGAAGACCTAGAAGAAGCTACTGGCTCCTGGCTTCAGTCTGGCCCAGCTCTGGACATTGCTGCCATTTGGAGGAATGAACCAGTGGATGGAAGACCCTCTCTCCCTCTGTCTTCCTCTCTCTCCCTCTCTCATCCTCTCTCTCCCTCTCTCTCCTTCTCCCTCTCCCTCCATCTCCCTCTTCCTCTCTGTAACTCTGCCTTTCAAATAAATACATAAATCTTTTTAAAAAATTATTGTACCTTCTATACCTGTTTGTATTTATATGGTCATGGGTGGCAGAGACTTGAGCCGTAATCTGCTGCTTCCCAAGTGCTTTAGCAGGAAGTTGAGTCAGAAGCAGAATAACCAGGTCACACACCAAGCCCTCTGAGATAGTCAGACCAGTGAGTGACAGATTAACCACCTGTGCCACAATGCCACCCCTGCTGCTGCCCCCCACTTCATAATGGTCTTCAGGTTAAGACTTGAAACTGGCAACTTAGCAAAGTCATGAGTTTCCAATTTTTTCCTTAAAATTACCATCTTGGTTTCATTTTCTTTCTCTTTAACTCAAAACTTTGAGTACAAAAGAATTGTCTTTTATATTTTTATGATTATATTTTTGGGAAATCTTATTTTTTCCATTTAGTTTAAATAGTATTGCCAAGCATATTCTATAAATTATGAACCTCAGAAAAAAGAAAATGTTCTGAAGTAGCCGGAAGGAGCTGTGCTGTTCTTAGAACTAGTATTGTCTAGTCTTCCTTCCCTTCTTTCTGTGTACTGCATTGCTTTAGGTTTCTGAAGTTTGGAAGTTGGGACAAATCTCATTGTTCTTCCAGGATAACTCAAGTAGTTATTTACAACCTTTCGTTCAAATGTGGCACCTGGGTAGCATACATTAATATTTACACTTCTACAAATAAGTAATGCAAGTAGCGCTCTTGTTTGTGTAGGGCTCAGAATTCTGTTTCTGGAGACGATTGAAAACATGATCCTCTGATTATAAGATTGGGAAGTCTTTGGCTTACTGGTGAGTTTTAAGTTCTAAAAAATAAGGGACAGGCATTTGGCAAAGCAGTTAAGATGCTGCTTGGAGTGCTTGCATTTATTAGGGTGCCTGGGACCAAGTCCTCATTCCACTTGTAATTCCTGCTTCCTGCTAACACACACCCTGGGAGGCAGCTGGTGATAGCTCAAATAATTGTTTTTTTGTCACCCACATGGAAGACCCAGATTGAGTTCCCAAAAGCCTGATCCCACCCAGGCTTTTGGGGAGTAAACCAGTGAATGGAAGAGCTGTGTGTGTGTGTGTGAGAGAGAGAGAGAGAGAGAGTGAGTGTGTGTGTTTCTCTGCCTTTAAAATAATAAAAAAAGATTTTTTAATCAAAGGTATGAATGATTTTCACATTTTTAAAAAGTATGTAATCCAAAAAAGTCCAAATTCTTAAGGATAATAAGAGGCTTTATGTTTAGTTGGTTTAAGTTCTTCATTGCTTTGATAGATTTCAGAGAAGCTGGATGATCCACATGCTTCTCACCATTTAAAAAGAATTCATGTGTCTTCTATTATTACTGAAATCTGATTTGTTTTGTTTCTTACAGTCAGTTTTTTCTTTATAGGCTCTAAAGCAGCAACAGCAAAAGAAACAGCAGCAGCAATGCAGGTCCAGCATGTCCATCTCCTCCAACCAGCATCTCTCTCTCAAGAATGTCAAGACCACCACTGATCCTGCACCTGCTAAACCCGGTATGCAGTCTGGGCACTTCTTCATTGGAAAATGTTTTTCCTAGGGATTTGTGTTGGTTTCCCAAATTTATATTCTACATCACTTATTCTTAACTTACTGTATTTACTTATGCAATTCTTAGACTGTTGTATCATCAATGTAAATCCTTCCAGGATAAAAGGGAAATTTTTTATGTAAAACAATCCTGCAGTTATTTTGAAGAAGTATCACCAGAATTTGAGTGCGAGAATGAAATCCGACTGACTTCTAAGATGCCTGACCTAATCATGTGTGAGGGCTTCTAGTAAATCTTGAACAGTTGATGTTTTCATGGAACACCAGGTAGAGCTCCTCACCAGTTCTCTCCTTGACAAACAGAAAGCTTTCTCAGGAACTCAGACCGCCTTGGCTTCCACTGGACTTGTCTATATGATCTTTGGATTTTCTGTTATTCTTGTATTTGTTTATTTTGTTTTTAACTTGAACTGACCTGGATATAGACTTTGTGCTATATTACATATCAGTTTGATGCGATAAACTGATTTCTGTGAGCCTGCCAGTCTTAGTCTGAGTCTCGCAGAATTTTGTGTTTTTATTAGAGAGGAAATGTACCACCAAAAGCCAACAGTATGCTGAGAGAAGCGAAGGGATTTTATTTTACTTTTTGACTTTACATTACCTTCTACATACATGACTCCATTTCGCTAGTGTTGAATGAATGTTTGACTGATGGTTGATTTCTGTCTGTAACCTTAGTGCGACTAGTCTTTACCTTTTTTCCCCCAGCAATATGGGAAGGAAAGCAAGCTGACGGACAGTCAAGCAGCCCCCAGAACTCAAACTCCAGCTTTTCTTCTTCAGCCAAAGTGGAAAGCCCCTTGCTAGGCTTGGGGAAGAAGGCTTTCCAGAGGTCTGACAGACTCCACACAAGTAAGTTAGTTTATGAAGACTGGTTTCTCACTGCATGATTTATCAACTGGATATTTGAAATTCATCAACTGTTTGGCTTAGGTTTAGAGCCTGATTTGAGTTACACAGCAAAGATTAGACATAGTTTCTGTTACTGACATAAATACTTGTAAGAAATGAAGCAGATCGGCGCCGTGGCTCACTAGGCTAATCCTCTGCCTGCGGCACTGGCACCCAGGTTCTTGTCCCGGTTTCTCCTCTTCCAGTCCAGCTCTCTGCTGTGGCCTGGGAAGGCAGTGGAGGATGGCCCAAGTGCTTGGGCCCTGCACCCACATGGGAGACCAGGAGGAAGCGCCTGGCTCCTGGCTTCAGATTGGCACAGCGCGCCAGCCGTGGCGTCCATTTGGGGGGTGAACCAACAGAAAAGGAAGACCTTTCTCTCTGTCTCTCTCACTGTCCACTCTGCCTGTCAAAAAAAAAAAAAAAAAAAGAAAGAAAGAAAGAAAGAAATGAAGCAAAGCGTGAACAGAATTGATTCAGTGTGTCTTTCCCCTTACTTGTTAGTCCCTATTTGCCTTTGAGCTCTTAATTTTTTTCTTGTCCCCTCCCCTTACCAGACTCTCAGAGAAAGATCTGTTATCAGCCATTTTGTGAATTTTTTTCTCTTTATGCCAATAGGTTGCTTTGTCCAGTGTTAGTTACATTTTCTTTTTCTGTATGCAAAAAGATAGTGAAATGTAACCAATTGTTTTTGTTCTGCTCCTTCTGAAATCCCACTAAGGTAAGATTGTGGAAATAATGAAGGTTAAATACAGGTGAAGAAGGCAAGGAGACATCAGTTGGGCAGGTAATGTAAGAGATGTTGGAAACAGAAACCAGGAGCAAAGAACTTAAATTGGGTCTCCCACATGGGTGTCAGAGGACAACTACTTGAGTCATCATCACTGCCTTGTAGGTACACATTAGCAGGAAAGCCAGAATCAGGAGTGGAGCTGGGACTGGAATCCAGGCAGCTGATAAGGGGATGCAGGTGTGCCAAGCCGTGTCTTAACCATTAGGCCAAATGTTGCCCCTGTGTAGCTTGTTTTAATATCAGTAAAATTCTTAGTACAAAGATACTCAAGAAGTTCGTGGAGGGGCGGCTGTTTGAACTGGGGATAAAGATGACGACAGCTTCCCCCACTGACCTATTCCACCTGAATCCTAGTGCCTCCATTTGGTAATGTGACTCTGGCCCCTGACTTTAGCTTTCTCCTAATGCAGATTGTGGGAAGCAATGTTGATGGCTTAAGTAATTGGGTCGCTGTCCTCCACCTGGGAGACCTGGAGTGAATTCCCAGCACCTAGCCTCAACCTGGTTCAGTGAATCAGCAGATGGGAATGTTTTCTTTTTCAGTCCCCAACCCTTACCCTCATTGCTCTGCCTCTCAATAATTTTTTAAAGATAAGTTTATATGGTATAAAAAATTTTGAGGAGCTGACCCTGTGGCACAGTAGGTTAATCCTCCGCCTGCAGCGTCAACATCCCATATGGTCTCTGGGCTCTGTTTCTAGTCCTGGCTGCTCCTCTTCCAATCCAGCTCTCTGCTATGGCCTGGGAAAGCAGCAGAAGGTGGTCCAAGTCCTTGGGCCCCTGCAGCCACATGGGGGAACCAGAGGAAGCTCTTGGCTCCTGGCTCCTGGCTTCGGATTGGCCTAGCTCTGACCATTGTGGCCATCTGGGGAGCGACCAGTGGATGGAAGACCTCTCTCTGTCTCTCATTCTCACTGTCTGTAACTCTACCTCTCAAGTAAATAAATAAGATCTTTTTAAAAATTTTGAAATTTATGCATACTTCTTTATAATACACATTTCCCGTGAATGTTTGAAGAGACATCCTATAGTTTTACATCACATAGTCAGAAAAATAAACATAACTTAAACAAAAAAAAAAAGGTAAGGCAATTTTACCAAAATTAGAGGCCTTAAATTAGCCACTTTGAGGTACATAAAAGTGTCTTCGGAGTATACTTTAACCAGTATGGAGAATAATTTATAGCTGCCCCTCAGTCTCACTAAAGAAGTTAAGTTCAGATTTTAACTAAAAGTTCGGTTCAGATGTGAAGGCACAGCGAATGCAAAAACAGTGAAATCTATTCAAGGCACACTGATGTTGCCAGATTCCATGAGCTACGTATGGGAAAGGAAGACAGGTGTTGCTTTCCAACCTGTTAGGGGCATTGCAGCATTGTTGTTATTTTCTTAAGACTTATTTATTTATTTGAAAGGTAGAGTTATACAGAGAGAGAGAGAGAGAGAGACAGATCTTCCATCCACTGGTTTGTTTCCCAAATAGCCAAAACAGCTGGGCTGGTCTGAAGCCAGGAACCAGGAGCTTCTTCTGGGTCTCCCCAGTGGGTGGCAGGGGCCCGAAGACTTGGGCCATCTTCCATTGCCTTTTGCAGCATTGTTTATACAAATATTGGTAAGCACTCATGTGATCATTAGTGGGAGACTGAATTTCTCAGATTTTTCCTGTTTGGTCCACATTCTTTGTCCGCATTCTTCCTGTTTGTTCATTTTTTAAGGACTTATTTTTGTTTATTTGAAAGGCAGAGTTACAGAGGGAAGGAGGGGAGACAGAAAGACAGGTCTTCTACCCACTAGTTCACTCCCCAAATGGCTATAGCGGCTGAGGCTAGTCCAGGGCAAAGCCAGGAGCAAGTAGCTTTTTCTGGGTCTCCCATGTGGTTGCAGGGCCCAAGCACTTGGGCCGTCTTCCGCTGCTTTCTCAGGGACACAAGCAGGGAGCTAGATCAGAAGTGGAGCAGCCAGGAATTGAACTTGTGCCCAATTGGGATGTCTGAATGTGCTTATGATTAGTAAACTGAATTTTTTTTTAAGATTTATTTATTTACTTGAAAGTCGGAGTTACACAGTGAGAGAAGGAGAGGCAGAGAGAGAAAGAGAGAGAGGTCTTCCATCCCATGGTTCACTCCCCAATTGGCCGCAATGGCTGGAGCTGCTCTGTTCAGAAACCAGGAGCCAGGAGCTTCTTCCAAAGGCTTGGGCCATCCTTCACTGCCTTCCCAGGTGTCGCTCCCCCTCTTCATGGAGGAACGACACTAAACCCTGCCTAGGCTTCATATCCGAGTCACGGCACCATTATGTCGCTCCCCCTCTTCGTGGAAGAACGACACTAAACCCTGCGCTGTTCTTTTGTCTGCTCGGCCCTCCCCGGGTTTGCTGCTGGTTCTTCCCGGGTTGGCTACCGTCCCTTCCACCTCCGTGGAAGGGCGGTTCCCCCTGCCACTTTCCCCACTTCCGCGGGGGAGCGGCACACCGCCGGCTGGCTCTCTCGGGGGCTGCACAGGTGTTCCTTCAGATAGATGTTCCTTTTAGATGTTCCTCATGCATGTTGTCTCTCCTCCTTTATAGTCCTCTTCCACCAATCCCAACTCTGCTACCCACACGCCGAGTACGCTGCTCTCCTCCAATCAGGAGCAGGTCCTGCTGTTTATTGATTGAACTGGAGGCAGCTGTGTAGAAGCTGTTTCCTCCTCTCCCAGCGCCATATTGTGGGAGAGCAGATGCATAGAATAAGTCTTAATTCCAGTAACTTAGTCTAGTCCGAGTTGCTCCCAGTTGCTCCCCACACCCAGGCAACAGCAAAGAACTGGATTGGAAGTGGAGCAGCCAGGACTTGAACTGGTGCCCATATGGGATGCCGGCACTGCAGGTGGTGGCTTTGCCTGCTATGCCACAGCGACGAACCCAGTAAACTGAATAAATTGCCTTTGCTTCTTTTCCTTTGACTTTTTCTTATTAATTTGTAAATTCACTTTCCTATGAAGAGTAGTATCTTTTGTCACATCTGGCAAATGTTTTTCCAAGTTAGTCTTTGATTTATATGTTGTTGTTGTTGTTTTTCATTTACATTTTAAATCCTTTGTGTACTCAAATCATTTTTTTTAAAGACTGTAAACCTATTATGGACAGATTTACTGAAACTGCTAAGCTATAGAATTATTACATTTTTAGATGTGCAAATTAAAATCAGTAAAACAAATTCTAATAGGAAGAAGAAAAGGGTATCATGATCATTGGTTGATTTTGGTTTTCAGCTTTGTTAGACATTCTGTGTATTTGTCATTTATCAGAAACCTCTTCAGTTTATCTTGGGAAAGAATCTAGTCTAGCAAAAGATGCACTTTACAGACCTTGTCCTGTTTTTACAGAGAAGATAAGTTATGTTCCATATCCTCTGTAGTGAACAAGACTTGATTTGTTAGTCTTAGAAGACATTTCTAAGATCCTTATGTGTTAGCCTTCTCCACAGTGTGGTGCTTAGCTAAGTGCTGGTTTTTGCACTGCACAGCGATCTATAGTTCAGGTAGAAAGAGGGCTGTGAAAGAAGCCTAAATGATTCTTTTCTGTGTTTTTTAGGGCAAATGAAAAGGACTAAATGTGCTGACATTGATGTTGAGACACCGGACTCCATTCTGGTTAATACAAATCTGCGAGCACTGATCAACAAACACACTTTCTCAGTCCTTCCTGGAGACTGCCAACAGCGACTGCTTCTACTGCTTCCAGAGGTAGATCGACAGGTGCGTCATTTCAAACATATGCAATTTGAAACCTTTCTGGAGCTTCCTTTACACAGCACCTTTAGAAACTGCTTATGGTTTTTTAAAATAGTTTTTTAGGTATGCCTGTAAGAAAGTGGTATCATTCTTTAAAGATTTCTTTAAAAGACAGAAAGATCTTCCGTATACTGGTTCACTTTCAGATGGCCACAATGGCTGGGACTAAGCCAGGCCAAAGCCAGGAATCCAAGATCTTCTTCCAGGTCTCCCATATGGGCGGCAGGGGAACTTTTGTACCAAGATGTCAAGTTCACACAACAAATTTGACTAGGTACCGTATTAGGACATAAGCAGCCATAGAATACAGGTTCAGGGGCCGGCACTGTGGTAAAGCTGCTGCCTGTGGTGCTGGCATCCCGTATGGGCACTGGTTTGACACCCAGATGCTCTGCTTCTGATCCAGCTCCCTGCTAATAAGCCTGGGAAAGCAGCAGAAGATGGCCCAAATGTTTGGGCCCCTGCACCCAAATGGGAGACCAGGAAGAAGCTCTTGGCTTTGGATCGATCCAGCTCTAGATGTTGCAGCCATTTGGGGAGTGAACCATCGGATGGACAACTTTCTCTCTCTCTCTCTCTAATTCTCTAACTCTCTAACTCTGCCTTTCAAATAAATAAATAAATATTTTAAAAATAAATAAAAATGTTTAAAAAATAATTTAAAAAAAGAATACAGATTCAGGAGGAAGAGTTGTCTTGGTCCTGTATAAGCAGGATTTAGGCCAATGCCTCATGAGTCCAGATAAATAGATGCATTTAGAACGGCATGCAACATGGAATAACAGTGATAGAATTGAGTGTTCATTATTTATATTCTTTTTGTGAATTTTTTTCTAAGGAAATATTTATTGCTTTGGTAATACAGAAGTTAAAATACAATATGTTATATTTTAAAAACAAAAAAATAACAGGAAGTGCCAAAGGTTTGGGACCAAAGAGCTCTTACTTGATCAGGAATAAAGCAAAGCTTTCATCAAGGAAAGAGTAACTGGCAAGTTACTGCCCCTTCTGTTCTTCTGCTTTCTTTTTTTTTTTTTTTTCTTATATTTTTCTTTTTTGAAAAAGTATTATTATTTTTTTTTTTTTACAAACCCTTGTGTCAAGGGCTGACTTTCAATAGATCTCAGTGAGGGAGCTGCTCTGCTACGCACAAAACCCTGTGTTCTTCTGTTTTCTCCTCTGAGGAAGGAAGATGGGACCTTTATGGTTTTCTAAGGTTTATTTACTTCTTGGATTTTTAAAAAATTAATTTTTATTTTTTTAAAGAATTATTTTATTTATTTGAAAGAGTTACAGAGAGAGGTAGAGCCAGAAAGAGAGGTCTTCCATCTGCTGGTTCACTCCCTAACTGACCGCAGTGGCCAGAGCTGAGCTGATTCGAATCCAGGAGCCAAGAGCTTCTTCCAGGTCTCCCACAAGGGTGCAGGGCCCCAAGGAGTTGGACTGCTTTCCCAGGCCATAGCAGAGAACTGGATCAGAAGTGGAGCCACCAGGACCCAAACTGGTGCCTATATGAGATGCCAGCTCTGCAGGCTGGGGCTTTAACCCACTGTGCCACAGCGCCGGCCCCTAAAAATTCATTATTATTTCCAAACACCTACTATGGTCTGAGTAATGTGTGATAGGTTCCTTCTTTTTACCTATTTAATATCGTTGTAGAAACAAGATGAGAGGAAGGTGTTTTCTGTTATTTTTAATAAAGGGACTAGTTTTATTGCATAACTTGTAGTAAGAGGTAGACAGAGAATAAGTCCATTACAGTTTATTGACTATAAAGTCAAAACAAAATCCCTCTAATTCTGAAAATTGTCTTTCTACTAGACCTCATTGGTACCAATTTCATAATGCTGTGAATCGTCCTGTGTCAAAGCACGTCAGAGTCTGTTATCCCAGGAATCCAAATGAGTCAAGTATTCGTCCAGCACTGGGGACTAAGACGTGAAACTGTCCTTCCCAGGGACTGCCTTTACCTCCTTCACTCCTCTTGGAGACGTTGTAGCTCAGGGAGTCCAGGTTCTTGCTTAGAACGTGTTGGGAGACTGAAGTTTCAGCAGTGTTTGAGGACTGTCTTTGAGAGTTAACTCTGACCATTTTTGAAGACTCAGGGTTATTAGGCTAGCAGTAACGATAAAGGACCTAACCAGGGCTGATTTCTGGGACACTAATGACAGTTCCTCAGAGTTGTCTTCAGTTTGAAGGCCCTTGTGCTCTCACTGTATGTGGAGGCTGGATTCTGTTGTTGCTGGGAAAACTGCAGCCTGTGACGCCGACCTCCCATATGGGCACTGGTTCATGTCCCAGCTGCTCCACTTCCGATTCAGCTCCCTGCTTATGGCCTTGGAAAAGCAGTGGATGATGACCCAGCTGTTTGGGCCCCTGCCACCCATGTAGGAGACCCAGATGAAGCTCCTGGCTCAGCCCTGGCTGTTATGGCCATCTAGGGGGTACATCAGCTGATAGAAGATCTCTCTCTACCTGTCTTTCCCTCTCTCTCTGTAACTCTTTCAAATAAATAAATCTTTAAAAATAAATTAAGTAAAGGTAGAGAGAAAGAAGTGTTCCATCCATCAGTTCACCCCCCAAATGCCAACAAAAGCCAGGACTGGAGTCTGGAACTGGAACTCTCTGTGGGTCTCGCACAAGGGGTAGCAGGAACCCTACCATTGAGCCATCACCTGCTGCTTCCCAGGGAACGTATTAGCTGGAAGTAGGATTGCAAACAGAACTGGCACTCAAACCAATCACTTTGATACAGGATGCTGGCATATCCCAAGCAGTGTCTTAAGTGATGTGCTTTACACTGGCCCCTGCATTTCGCTTTTTAATCCATCTAGATTCAGGGTTTGGGGGTTATTCAACCTTCCCTCCTCCCCCAAGGCTAAACTGTATTCAGCTTTTTTTTTCTTTCTTTTTTTAAATATTTATTTTATTTATTATTTTAAACTGTTACAGAGAGAGGTAGGGACAGAGAGAGAGAGGTCTTCCATCTGCTGGTTCGCTCCCCAAATGGCTGCCACAGCCAGAGCTGTGCTGATCCCAAGCCAGGAGCCAGGAGCTTCTTCCGTGTTTCCTATGTGGATGCAGGGATACAAGCACTTGGGCCATCCTCTGCTGCTTTCCCAGGCACAGTAGCAGGGAGCTGGATGGAAAGTGGAGCAACCAGGACTTGAACCAGCACCCATATGGGATGCCAACACTGTAGGTGAGGGGGTTAATCCACTGCACCACAGCGCCAGCCCCCGTATTCATCTTCTTAAAGACTCTTTGTGGGATTCCAACATCCGTATCAGAGTGCCTGAATTCAGTACTTACCTCTGGCTCCTGTGTCCAGCTTTCTGCTAATGCAGACTCGGGAGGCAGCAGTGATGGCTCATGCAGGTGGTTTCCTGCCACCCATGTGGGAGACCTGGATTAAGTTCCTGGCTCCTGGCTTCATCCCAGCTCAGTCATGGCATTTGGATAGTAAACTAGTGGATGGAAGCACTGTCAATTTGTCTGCCTCTCAGGTCTAACCAATATAACTAAAAGACTCTTTTCATAGATAATCACTGTATTTCAGGCAGGTCATGGGCAGACCACTGCTAACAGTACACAACTACTCTCAAACTCCCCCCTTCGGTTGACTATCAAAATCAGAAGACCACTGTACAACCCAGTGGAGGCTTTATTCGATGCTCTCAACAGAAGTTTAGAGTGAGCGTTGACCTTTCACATTTAGCTTGTTAACAGCTTAGCATAAGCAACCTTGACTTTCAGGAAATGAAATGAAAGTGGAAGCATTGTCAATCTGAAATCCACGGTCTAAAAAAGAACTGTTTCTTTTGAGGGACACCATCTCTGTGCTGTGAGTGTTAACTCCTGATGGCCTGTCCTGTTGGTCTCAGATTTTTGAGTCAAATCCCAACAGGTCCCTAGGTTTCAGGGAGTTAAGTCTATGAGAAAGACTGACAGGGAGAAAGTCATAAAAACAAATTTAAATTTTAATTTTTCCACACCACAGGTGTTTTTGTGTGTTTCGGTGGCAGGGAAACCCATTCCTCCTGGATGTCAAGACGTCTTTCAACTAGAAGGGAAAGAGATTTTCTTCCACCTCAGTCTAGCTTTGGAGACATTCTGTTATGACCTAGGCCCCTTCCCCCAGTACAACAGTGGCGTGTTCTGTGTGCTGGCAACATAACTTAAAAAAAAAGCAGAGGGGCCAGCATTGTTGGGCAGCAGGTTAAACCTCTTTATACCTCCAACACCAACACCTGTATCGGAGCTTTGGTTTGAGTCCTGGCTGCTCCACTTCCAATCTAACCTGGGTCATCATCCACTCCCTTCCCAGGCACCTTAGTGGAAAGTGCTCGTTTCTTCTCAAGATTACTTTTTTTTTAATTTATATATTTGAAAGTCAGAGTTATACAGAGAGAGGAGAGGCGGGGGGGGGGGTCTTCCATCTGCTGGTTCACTCCCCAGTTGTCTGCAATTGGCTGGAGCTGTGCCAATCCGAAGCCAGGAGCTTCTTCCAAGTCTTCCCACCCTGGTGCAGGGGCCCAAGCATGTGGGCCATCTTCTGCAGCTTTCCCAGGCCATAGCAGAGAGCTGCATTGGAAGTGGAGCAGCCGGGACTCAAACTGGCACCTGTATGAGATGCCAGCATTGCAGGCGGTGGCTTTACTCACTACACCACAGCACTGGCCCCTCAGTGTTACTTTCTGCTGAATGGATAGCGAGTTGTTCCCAGCACTACCTATTTACGTATTATATAACCACCTTTTTCATTCTAATGCCAATTATGAGAGTTTTGATTGCAATCATTTGGTTTGTTTAATAATCTGAAAGACAATCCTCTATCCCAGTTTTTCTAAACTGTTTTTCCATGTGAATTTTCAGATTGTTTTATTGAGTTCATGAAAAATCTGTTTAGGGATTCTGATAGAATACTAGATTACAATTTTGGAGAGAATAACTACTTTTATATTAAGTTTTCCCACTCAGGTTTTTTAGTTCTTCTATTTTATGCCCTTAAATAAGATTTTAGGTTTTACATTATTTATTAAGAATTTTAAAACCATTTGGCAGATCATCACAAATCAAGTCAATAGATACATTATGGGGAAATACTTAAAGAATTATTTATTTTACTTGAAAGTCTCAGTTACACAGAAAGAGGAGAGGCAAAGAGAGAGGGAGAGTGAGAGAATGAGAGGTCTTTCACTGCTGGTTCACTCCCCAGATGGCCACAATGGCTGGAGCTGCGCCGATCTGAAGCCAGGAGCCAGGAGCTTCTTCTGGGTCTCCCATGTGGGTACAGGGGCCCAAGCACTTGGGCCATCTTCTACTGCTTTCCCAGGCCATAGCAGAGAGCTGGATCGGAGTGGAGCAGCTGGGACTCGAACCGGTGCATTTGGGATGCTGGCACCGCAGGCAGCGGCTTTACCCACTATGCCACAGCACTGGCCCCAGGGGAAATATTTTTAATTTAATTTATTTGAGAGATGGAGACAGATCTTCCACAGCTAGTTGACTCCCAAAATATCCACAGTAGCCAGGGCTGAGCCAGGCTAAAGCCAAGTGCCTGGAACTCAATCAAGGTCTTCCCTTGCGAGGGTCAGAGATCCAAGTACTTGGGTCATCACGTCCTACCTCCCAAGATGTTCATTAGCAGAAAGCTGGATTCTGGAGCAGAGCTGGGACTTGAACTTAAGCATTACAGTATGAGATTCAGGCACTCCAAGTGATGCCTTAATGGATATTAAGAAATCCCACTCTGAGGGAAAATAAAGATTGATTGATTGATTGATTTAAAAGGCAGAGTTGCAGATAGAGACAGAAAGAAACATCTTCCATCTGCTGGTTTACTCCCCAAATGGCTACTGTGGCCAGAGCTGGACCAACCCAAAGTTGGGTGCCTGGAGTTTCTTCTGGATCTCCCACGTGGGTAGAAGGACCCCGAAGACTGTACCATCTTCCTCAGCTTTCCCAGGTGCATTAGCAGGGAGCTGGATTCAAAGTGTAGCAGCCACAACTCAAATAGGTGCCCATATGGAATGCTGGCACTGCAGCCAGTGGCTTTACCCATTAGGCCACAGCGCTGGCCCCTCCATGTTTAATATTTAAAGGACCTCACAAATAAATAATAAAAATAAGCAGGTGTTTAGCCTAGATGTGAAGACACTGTGTCCTATATCAGAGTGCCTGCTTTTAATTCCAAACTTCTGATTCCAGCTTCCTTCTAATGCATACCCTGGGAGGCATTGGTGATAGGTCGAATAATTGGGTTCCTCCCACCCACGTGGAAGACCTGGGTTGAGTTCCTGGCTATCAGGCATTTGGGGTATAAACCAACAGATGGGAGATCTCTCTCTTCTGCATCCATCTCTCTGCCTCTCAAATGGTTAATATTAAAGAATAAAAGAAAAAAAGCAACCTAATAGAAAAATGAGAAAATGACAGGAATTGGGACTTCAGGTGATAGCAGAATTAATGAACAGTACAGAAGGATACATAAGTAGTAATAAGAAAATTTTTGGGCCATTTAAACCCATTAGATTGGGCAGAAATTAAGTAGTATATTAACATCTGTTGGCAGGGAAAAAGTAAGCCCATATATTGCTGGTGGAAATACCTGTTGTTTTAGCCTTACTGGACAGTAATTAAACACACACAAATATTCTTGTTCTAGGAATGTTTCCCTTTTAAATAAAAGTGCTGGTATGTTCCTCTCCACCAGGGTGTCTGTTGCAATTTTATTGACTTTGGGAAAACCTTGGAAAGAAAGCATAAATCTATTATTAGTGAATGGGTAAATTAACTGAGTTACATTCATAAAATGAAATAATCTGCAGCCATTATAAATGGGCTTAAGCTTTGTTTACTGATGGGGAAAGACTGGCACAGTGCTTTCCGAGAGAAAAGTAAAATGCAAAACAGTATACATAACTGGCTTACCACTTTTATAAAAGACCTTTCCCAGGGGAAAAAAAAAAGCAGAAAAAAAAAAAAGCAAAAACTGTACATACATCTTTAGGTGTGGTTCTGTGAGCTGGTTTTTTAATCACTGGGAGTTGGATGGAGAGATAAAGTGAAAAGGGGTGTTTTTAGAACAAAATCATAACTACATTAAAAAACAGGCACCCATGTTTAGTGGGCAGCATTGGTACAAGTTGATGATTTTTCTAAGAAACTAAGTGTACACACATTGTTTTCTGAGATGGAAGCCAACTACCACGTGATGCCGTTTGCTTTCTTTGTGAGCTTTCTCTGGCATATTCTTTGACCCAGGTTGGTCCTGATGGTTTGATGAAGCTAAATGGCTCAGCCCTTAACAATGAGTTCTTCACTTCGGCAGCCCAAGGCTGGAAGGAAAGGCTCTCAGAAGGTAAGTGTCTCCCAGGATGTATGCGCACTTGGAGCTACCGTGAGGATGTGGTGGCACCTCTACACCTCCTCAGGTATATGGGCAGGTTGACTCCAACAGGTAGAATTAGCTGTCCTGTGGGAAACACATGACTGCACTTAGATGCAGAGCCCATGTAGCTATGTTGACTCCTGGGAGAGTCCAGCAATAAGTTTCTTTAATGATTCACAGTCTCCTGAGAAACTAAGAGGTGTAGATTTTTTTTAGGTCATATTTATCTTGTGGTGCTATGAATCACAGTTTCATTAGCAGTAAGATAGCATCAAACTAGCAAAGAAAGGTATCAGAACTTTTTGAAAAATTGCTTTATTGAGATATATTTAAAATACTATAAAATGTATATATTTGAAGTGTACAGGTAAGTGGCAATAAGAACTTTAAGATAAGAAGATAAGAAGTATCTTGGGGCCAGAGCAGTGATGCAGTGAGTAAACGCCCTGGCCTGAAGCGCCGGCATAGCTGGTTCAAGACCCAGTTGCTCAACTTCTGATCCAGCTCTCTGCTATGGCCTAGGAAAATAGTAGAAGATGGCCCAACAGCTCTCTGCTGTGGCCAGGGAGTGCAGTGGAGGATGGCCCAAGTACTTGGGTCCTGCACCCCATGGGAGACCAGGAGAAGCACCTGGCTCCTGCCATCGGATCAGCGTGGTGCGCCGGCTGCAGTGCGCCAGCCGCGGCGGCCATTGCAGGGTGAACCAACGGCAAAGGAAGACCTTTCTCTCTGTCTCTCTCTCTCACTGTCCACTCTGCCTGTCAAAAAAAAAAAAAAAAAAAAAGAAGATGGCCCAATTCCTTGGGCCCCTGCACCCATGTGGGAGACCTGGAAGAAGCTCCTGGCTCCTGGCTTTTGGCTTCGGATCAGCGCAGCTTCAGCCGTTGCGGCCATCTGGAGAGTGAACCAGCGGGTGAAAGACCTCTCTCTCTCAGCCTCTCCTCTCTCTGTAACCCTGACTTTCAAATAAATAAATAAATCTTAATTTTAAAAAAAAGGAATTATCAGAGTTACAGAGAGAGAGAGAGAGAGACAGAGCAAGAGAGGTCTTCCATCTGCTGGTTCACTCCCCCAAGTGGCCACAACAGCTAGGGCTGAGCTGATCTGAAACCAGGAGCTTCTTCCAGGTCTCCCACAGGGGTACAGGGTCCCAAGCACTTGGGCTATCCTCTGCTGTTTTCTCAGGGCCATTAACAGGGAGCTGGATCGGGAATAGAACAGCCGGGACTCAAACTGGCATCTCCTGGGATGCTGGCACTGTAGACTGGAGCTTTAACCCACTGCACCACAGAGCCGGTCCCAATAAGAACATTTTAAGTGTAGATTAGGACCTATGGTGACTGGCTGCCCTTTATGCTGTGCATTTAACTCTGATTTGAAAAATTTATGGTGGTACCTGAGCTTAAATGTTTCATTTGTAAGTTTTGCCAAGTGATCCTAATATGCAGCCGTGATTGAAACCTGTACTATTTCAAATATTACACCTTTCAATGTATATAGGATACAGAATAACACTTGAAAACTGATATATATGTAAGCTTTAAACAAGTGTGAGAAGATTTAAAATAAATACATTTGTAAGGAAAGCCTTAGAAATGCTGTTCATTGCTTACTTTTCATCAGATCCCTGACAATTAGAATCAGGATCAGCTAATATAGGAGAGTACTGCAATGACTGGAAAAATGGCATTCCTGGAGTATTCTCCTGTATTTATATTGCTCACCATAGATTCTTGAAGAAGGAAGGACTTATCCAGCTTCATTAGAAGAGTTCACAACGGCAGAGGTGACAGTGAGAGAGAGAGACAGAGAGAAAGGTCTTCCTTTGCCGTTGGTTCACCCTCCAATGGCCGCCGCGGTCGGCGCGCTGTGGCCGGCACACCGCGCTGATCTGATGGCAGGAGCCAGGAGCCAGGTGCTTTTCCTGGTCTCCCGGGGGGTGCAGGGCCCAAGCACTTGGGCCATCCTCCACTGCACTCCCTGGCCACAGCAGAGGGCTGGCCTGGAAGAGGGGCAACCGGGACAGAATCCGGTGCCCCGACCGGGACTAGAACCCGGTGTGCCGGCGCCGCTAGGCGGAGGATTAGCCTAGTGAGCCGTGGCGCCGGCCAAGGAAGGACTTTTTGATTACTATAGCCCTTTCTTACAGATTTCTTTGGGCAGAGATCCCCTTTTTACTGATTTAATTAAAATCACGTAAGTATTTAAAGCAGATCAGTTAAGAATATATTGTTAAAGGATTTGCTTCTCCAGGACCGGCGCTGTGGCGCTGTGGCGCTGTGGCGCAGCGGGTTAACGCCCTGGCCTGAAGCGCCGGCATCCCATATGGGCGCCGAGTCCAGTCCCGGCTGCTCCACTTCCTCTCCACCTCTCTGCTATGGCCTGGGAAAGCAGTAGAAGATGGCCCAAGTCCTCCCGTGTGGGAGATCTAGAAGAAGCTCCTGGTTCCTGGCTTTGGATCGGGGCAGCTTTGGCTGTTGCGGCCAACTGGGGAGTGAACCAGCGGATGGAAGACCTCTCTCTCTCTTTCTCTCTCTGCTTCTCCTTTCTCTGTGTAACTCTGACTTACAATAAATAAATCTTCAAAAAAAAAAAAAAAAAGGATTTACTTCTCCAACCCCCAGTTTTTGTAAGTAGACAGTACCAACAATGATGCTTTGATTATTATCAGGGTTACTTTTTTTTTTAAGGATTTATTTATCTATTTAAGAGGCAGGGATACAGAGAGGGAGAGAGAGAAAGAGAGGTCTTCCATCCACTGATTCACTCCTTAAATGGTCACAATGGCTGGAGCTAGGCTGATCCAAAGCCAGGAGCCTGGAGCTTCTTCTGGATCTCCCACTTGAGTGCAGGAGCGCAATCACTGAAGTCATCTCCCACTGCTTTCCCAGGCCATGGGCAGAGAGCTGAATTGGAAGAGGAGCAGCCAGGTTACCAACCAGCACCCTAGGTTCCAGTCCCGGTTGGGGCGCCGGATTCTGTCCCGGTCGCTCCTCTTCCAGTCCAGCTCTCTGCTGTGGCCCAGGAAGGCAGTGGAGGATGGCCCAAGTGCTTGGGCCCTGCACCCGCATGGGAGACCAGGATAAGTACCTGACTCCTGGGTTCTGATCAGCGCAGTGCACCGGCCGCAGCAGCCATTTGCGGGGGTGAACCAACGGAAGGAAGACCTTTCTCTCTGTCTCTCTCTCTGACTGTCTAATTCTGCCTGTCAAAAAAAAAAAAAGAGCCGGCGCCGCGGCTCACTAGGCTAATCCTCCGCATAGCTGCGCTGGCACACCGGGTTCTAGTCCCGGTCGGGGCACCGGATTCTGTCCCGGTTGCCCCTCTTCCAGGCCAGCTCTCTGCTGTGGCCAGGGAGTGCAGTGGAGGATGGCCCAAGTGCTTGGGCCCTGCACCCCACGGGAGACCAGGAAAAGCACCTGGCTCCTGGCTCCTGCCATCGGATCAGCGCGGTGCGCCGGCTGCAGTGCGCCGACCGCGGCGACCATTGCAGGGTGAACCAACGGCAAAGGAAGACCTTTCTCTCTGTCTCTCTCTCTCACTGTCCACTCTGCCTGTTAAAAAAAAAAGAGAGAGAGAGAGAGAGAAAGAAAAGCATGCAAGCCAGTGACTGCTATACCACAGTTGCTTTATGAGCAACAAAAACTGAACAGTACACATGTGAGCAGAGGCCAACACTTCTCTTCCTCAGTGCGTGTGACAGAGTAGACTCTAGTTTGAATTCTGGCAGTCAGAATTTCTCTGGTCCCGCTCTGTGGCTCCTGCCTGTGATGTTACAGTCATCTAACACTTTTCTTTCTATCCTTCCTTCTTACCCCCTGGAGGTTTCCAACTGAAAAGTCTGCCATTTCTGTCTTTCTTTTTCAAGATTTATTTATTTATTTACTTATTTGAAAAGCAAAGTTACGATGAGGTGAGACAGATCTTCCTTCCATCCATTGGTTCACTCCCTGGATGTCCACAATAGCCAGGGGGAGGGCCAGGCAAAAGCCAGGAGACAGGAGCTTCTTCCAGGTCTCCCACATGGGTGTCGGGGCCCAAGCACTTGGGCTGTCTACTGCTGCTTTCCCAAGCACAGTAGCAGGGAGCTGGATCTGAATGAGAGCACCCAGGACTGGAACTCAGACCTAAATGAGATGCCGGTATTGCGTGCAGCAGTTTAACCCATCACGCTACAACACCAGACCCTGTGTTCTGCCATTTCCACCTCTTATTTGCTGATGCCCTGGGACTAAATATAAAGAAATATAAAAGGGGGCAAGCCACAGGTTTGAAGATAGGCTGCCCAGTGCATTCACTATTGTATGCTGATGGAGTGGGCAGGATTGAGGTGGCTGGTGGTTTATGCAAATAAATTGCATAGTCAAAGCAGCTAGATGTTAACATGTTGAGAATCTTGTTGCTAGGGAACTAGACTGGTACATTTTCTGGAACAATTAGAAACCTGACAACTCCAGAATCATTTCCTACCTTTTTAGTAGAATTTCAAATGCCTTTAAGCAGGGCAATAGCTTTTCGTTATATAGTTACAGGTAAAAATTCTAAAATGCAGTTTGTCTTGGAGAAGCAGGATTTTAATGTAATAATATTCCCAGTAGCATTATTTACTGAAAACACATCACTTTTTTTTTTTTTAACTGGAATTTGAACTAAAAGAAATCTGTATGGGATATGATGTTGGGACTAGGAGGAAGTGCTATAGGGAAGGCCCATGGTGAAGGCTGTCTAGGCCTCACCTGAGCATTGAGAACTGTGTGGAGTAAGTGCAGATGGCATGTAGGGCCTTCTTACAGTCGGGTGCTTTGGCAAGTCTGTTCCTTTTTTTTTTTTTGACAGGCAGAGTGGACAGAGAGAGACAGAGAGAAAGGTCTTCCTTTACCATTGGTTCACCCTCCAATGGCCGCTGCGGCCGGCGCACCATGCTGATCCAAAGCCGGGAGCCAGGTGCTTCTCCTGGTCTCCCATGCGGGTGCAGGGCCCAAGCACCTGGGCCATCCTCCACTGCCCTCCCAGGCCACAGCAGAGAGCTGGCCTGGAAGAGGGCAACCGGGACAGAATCCGGCGCCCCGACTGGGACTAGAACCCAGTGTGCCGGCGCCGCAAGGTAGAAGATTAGCCTATTGAGCCGCAGCGCCGGCCAAGTCTGTTCCTTTTACATGATAGTAACCTGATTCCTGCAAGAGTCTGTTAGGATTTCTACCTTTCTCTCTGTCTCTCTCTCTCACTGTCCACTCTGCCTGTCAAAAATAAAAAATAAAATAAAATAAAATAAAAAAAATAAAAAGAACATAATGGGCCGGCGCCGCGGCTCACTAGGCTAATCCTCCGCCTAGCGGCGCCGGCACACCGGGTTCTAGTCCCGGTCGGGGCACCGGATTCTGTCCCGGTTGCCCCTCTTCCAGGCCAGCCCTCTGCTGTGGCCAGGGAGTGCAGTGGAGGATGGCCCAGGTGCTTGGGCCCTGCACCCCATGGGAGACCAGGAAAAGCACCTGGCTCCTGGCTCCTGCCATCGGATCAGCGTGGTGCGCCGGCCGCAGCGCGGCGGCCATTGGAGGGTGAACCAACGGCAAAGGAAGACCTTTCTCTCTGTCTCTCTCTCTCTCACTGTCCACTCTGCCTGTCAAAAAAAAGAACATAATGGTATTTTCCACCACATCCTCCTCCCTCTTGAATATCCTTTTCATGTTGTTTTACAGGTGAGTTTACACCTGAGATGCAGGTGAGAATTCGACAGGAGATTGAGAAGGAGAAAAAAGTGGAACCTTGGAAAGAACAGTTCTTTGAAAGCTACTATGGTCAGAGGTAATATAAGACAGTTTCTATTAAACCAATGTTAGTTCCTGCATATATGTCATATGGTACTTCATCTCATTAACTTCACAAAAAAACTAATGCCAGTTTCCTTTTTTATTTATGTCACAATTTTTAAAAGAATTTTTTATGGTACACAAACTTATAAAGTTTATTTAAAAGTTGAGGAAAACACACACAAGCGTGTGGGCACTGTTCAGAGATAGAGTAGGCAGGAAGAGGAAATGAATAGGGGTGGGAAGTACAGACGGTGCCTCCAGACCCTGTCTTGTTCTCGTCTGAAGGGAGAGTGGGAGAACCCTGTCACCAGTTCTTCACCAAAAGGTTTTTTCTTTCATAAATCATAGGGCACAGCATTTATTTATTTTTTAAAGATTTATTTATTTGAAAGAGTTACAGGGGGGGGGGGGGGTCTTCCACCCGCTGGTTCACTCCCCAGATGGGCACAACGGCTGGAGCTGCGCCGATTCAGAGCCAGGAGCCAGGAGCGTCTTCCGGGTTTCCCACGTGGGTGCAGGGGCCCAAGGAGTTGGGGCATCTTCTGCTGCTTTCCCAGGCCATAGCAGAGAGCTGGAGCGGAGTGGAGCAGCTGGGACTAGAACTGGCACCCATATGGGATGCTGGCGCTTCAGTGGGCTTTAACCCACTGCACCACAGCATTTAATTACTAATAGTTCTTGACCCTAGCATATTATCATTATAGGTGTGATGGTATCTTTTAAGAGAAAAATAAAAAAGATTATTTTTATCTTGATTTAGATGCTCTTCTTTGAAAAGGTTGACTTCTTCCCTAGTAACTGTGTAAAAGATAAAAGAATGTGAAGTTTGCACATTTTTTAAAATAGTTAATCATCTCGGCCAGCGCCGCGGCTCAATAGGCTAATCCTCCGCCTAGCGGCGCCGGCACACCGGGTTCTAGTCCCGGTCGGGGCACCGGATTCTGTCCCGGTTGCCCCTCTTCCAGGCCAGCCCTCTGCTGTGGCCAGGGAGTGCAGTGGAGGATGGCCCAGGTGCTTGGGCCCTGCACCCCATGGGAGACCAGGAAAAGCACCTGGCTCCTGGCTCCTGCCATCGGATCAGCGCGGTGCGCCGGCCGCAGCGCGCCGGCCGCGGCGGCCATTGGAGGGTGAACCAACGGCAAAAGGAAGACCTTTCTCTCTGTCTCTCTCTCTCACTATCCACTCTGCCTGTCAAAAAATAAAAAAATAAAAAAAAAATAAAAAAAAAATAGTTAATCATCTCAAAATCTAGAATCACTCAGGCAACCTAGGAATTGTGTAGTGTAGATTGTTGAACTAGCGTGAAATGAAATAGCCTGACTCCTTTGTAAACGGCACTCTGGGAGATGGCTGGATCAAGATACAGTCCCTGTTTCCAGGGACTGTGGTCTGAATCAGTTCTTTCCACGAACACAAAGTTCAGATGTAATTTTTCAAAGTTTATTTGAAAAGCAGAGACAGAGCCGGCGCCGTGGCTCAATAGGCTAATCCTCCACCTTGCGGCGCCGGCACACCGGGTTCTAGTCCCGGTCAGGGCGCCGGATTCTGTCCCGGTTGCCCCTCTTCCAGGCCAGCTCTCTGCTATGGCCAGGGAGTGCAGTGGAGGATGGCCCACGTGCTCGGGCCCTGCACCCCATGGGAGACCAGGAAAAAGCACCTGGCTCCTGGCTCCTGCCATCGGATCAGCGCGCTGCGCCGGCTGCAGCGGCGGCCATTGGAGGGTGAACCAACGGCAAGGGAAGACCTGTCTCTCTCTCTCACTGTCCACTCTGCCTATCAAAAAAAAAAAAAAGAAGAAAAAAAAAAAGAAAAGCAGAGACAGAGAAAGAGAGATCCTTCATTCAGTTGTTCACTTTTCAGGTATCCGTCAGAGCCTGAGCTGGTCCAGGCCAAAACCAGTATCCTGAAACTTCATCCTGGTCTCCACATGGGTGCAGGGACCCTAGTAATTGGACCATCATCTGCTGCCTTCCAGGGGGTGTCAGCAAGAAGCTGGAATCAAAATCAGAGCCAGAATTTGAACCCAGGCACTCCATATGGGATTCTTGTATCCCAAGTAGCATCTTTTTTAATTTAATTTAAATTTTTTTAATTTGACAGGTAAAGTTATAGACAGAGACAGAGAGAAAGGTCTTCTTTCTGTTGGTTCACCCCCCAAAATGCCCGGAGCCAGGATCCAGGTGCTTTCTCCTGGTCTCCCATGCAGGTGCAGGGGCCCAAGCACTTGGGCCATCTTCTGCTGCCTTCCCAGGCCACAGCAGAGAGCTGGACTGGAAGAGGAGCAACCGGGACTAGAACCCGGTGCCCATATAGGATGACGGTGCAGGCGGCGGAGGATTAACCAAGTGAGCCCCGGCGCCGGCCCCAAGTAGCATCTTAACAACTGTGGCAAACACCTTCCCCCAATGCAATCTTAATGTGCATATTTAAATAGATGATAGGGGCCAGCAATGTGGTATAGTGGGTAAAGCTGCTACCTGCAGTGCTGGGATCCCATATGGGTGCCGGTTCGAGTCCTGGCTGCCTCACTTCTGATCCAGCTCTCTGCTAAGGCCTGGGATAGCAGCAGAGGATGGCCCAAGTCCTTGGGCCCCTGCATGCTCCTAGGAGACCTGGAAGAAGCTTCTGGTTCCTGACTCCAGCCATTGTGGCCATCTGGGGCATGAACCAGGAGATGGAAGACTTCTCTTTCTGCCTCTGTGTCTCTGTAACTCTGCCTTTCAAATAAATAAATAAGTCTTTAAATAAATAAATAGATGATAGTGGAGCTGTTTTGTTTGGAATAGGATTGAACACCTAGACTTTTGTTAGTCTCCATTCATTGTGCATACCAAATATCAGCCCTTAAGGAGACTCCATAAGCCACTGGTTGAGAACCAAGGGCTCCTTTTCCTTGTCTCCAAGTAGAGACAAGGATCCCCTTCACAATTATGCAGGGTATATTCCTATGGTCAAATACGGATATTTCTGTGTTATAGAAATAATGGCTATATATTTGAACCGTAATTGTAAGTAGCAGTGATCCTGTAAATATTTTTTCATCCTCTCTTTATTAGACAGTTGGAACATTACAGCAATTAAGTTTTTCTATTTTCTTTCTTTCAAGATTTATTGATTTATTTGAAATAGTTACACAGAGAAAGGGAGAGAGAAGGAAGTGTTTTCTGTCTGCTGGTTTACTCCCAGATGTCTGAAGTGGCCAGTGCTGGGCCAGGCTGAAGCCAGGAGCTTCATCCAGGTCTCCAATGCAAATGTCCTAGATGCAGGTACTTGGACCATCTTCTGCTTTCCCAGACCATTTGCAAGAAACTGGATCAGAGGTGGAGCAGCCAGGACACAAAGTGGCACCCATTTAGGATGCTGGCATCATAGGCAGTGGCCTTTTTAACTCATAAGCCACATGCTGGTCCCAATTTTTTCTATTTTCAATATTACTCTTTTTTTTTTTTTTTTTTTTTTTTTTGGCAGGCAGAGTGGACAGTGAGAGAGAGAGACAGAAAGAAAGGTCTTCCTTTGCCATTGGTTCACCCTCCAACGGCCGCCGCAGCCAGCGCACTGCGGCCGGCGCACCGCGCTGATCCGATGGCAGGAGCCAGGTGCTTCTCCTGGTCTCCCATGGGGTGCAGGGCCCAAGCACTTGGGCCATCCTCCACTGCACTCCCTGGCCACAGCAGAGAGCTGGCCTGGAAGAGGGGCAAGCGGGACAGAATCCGGCACCCCAACCGAGACTAGAACCCAGTGTGCCGGCGCCACAAGGCGGAGGATTAGCCTAGTGAGCCACGGCGCCGGCCTCAATATTACTCTTTACCAGCTTTTATAGAAGGATTATCTTTGATTATAGCTCTGTTTTGTCCTTAGCCATTCGATCAAAGAAGCCAGTCAATCTAGAATTGGAGTACTGATTCTTTGCAGTCATCGGAGAGGGCTATGTTGATTTTACCTGTTCCATGACGCTTTAAAACATTAAGAAGATACAGTCATTTAGCCTAGTAGTTAGGATGCTAAAGAAGACACCTGCATCCCATATCGGACCACCTAGGTTAGACGCCCACCTCAGCTCATGATTCTTGCTCCCTGCTAATGGGGACCCTAGGGAAGGCAGTGAGGATGGCTCAAATAATTGGCTTCCTACTACCCACATATGAGACCTGGATTGAATCTCTGGCTCCTGACTTCAGCCTGACCCAGTCCTGTCCCTTATAGGAATTTAGTGAGTGAACTGATAGTTGGGAGCTCACTTTCTTTCTTATTTGTGTGCATCTTTCTCTCTCTGTTTCTTTGTCTCTTAGCCAGGACACACACTGAAAGTCTTAATTGACCTATACCCCAAAATGCCTAATAGTCATTTCATCTCGAAATTTTAGAGCTAAACAACATGGCAATTGAACAGGCTTTTCAGGGGCCAACATTGTGGTGCAGAAAGTTAGGCCATGGCCTGCAGCACCACATCCTGTATCAGTGCCAGCTTGAGACCTGGCTTCTCCACTTCCAATCCAGCTTCCCACTAATGTGCCTGGGAAAGCAGCAGAGGATAACCCAAGTCCTTGGGCCCCTGCGCCCATGTGGGAGACCCGGAAGAAACTTCTGATTCCTGGCTCTGGTCTTGCCTCAGCCCTGGTCACTATGGCCATTTGGGGAGTGAACCAGTGGATGGAAGACCTCTCTCTGTCTCTCCTCTCTCTCTGTAACTCTGCCTTTCAAATAAATCAATAAATCTTTAAATAAAAGATAAATAAACAGGGTTTCCAAAAGCTCCGTCAGAATTCTCAGCTTCTGGGGTACCTTGGCTGGTGGGCCCCTACTGTCTCCTCAGAGTTCTTTAGATTTCTTGGGTCAGCGTTTCTGCAAGTGCCACAGAGCACAGTTGATCCCAGTCCCCAGGTGGATGGGTCCTGGCCTGCTTCCAGCTCCTTGTAAGTGGGCTGTGATGCCTCTACATCGTGGGGCCTGCATAAGCCAGAGCAGTAACAATAACCAGCATCCCCAGACTTTTCCTAAGCGCCAGGCCGCTTCCTCATCAGAGCAGCAGTATGGCATAATTAGCCCCAGCGGATCGCTGAAGGAACGGAGGTACGGGAGCCTAGTCACTTAGTAGCTCAGCGTGCAGGAGTTGTCAGAGCCTTCACGACCAGTAACGGCAGTGAAGCCAGTGCGTGAAGAAAGCCTCCGTGTGTTGTCATAGTCCATTGTCCCACAACAGCCTCAGTAATGCGGACCATTTCTCAACTAAGATCTTTCTTTCTTCCACTCTTTAGTTCTGGTCTGAGCCTTGAAGATTCAAAGAAACTGACTGCTTCGCCCAGTGATCCCAAAGTCAAGAAAGTCCCAGCCGAGCAACCAAAACCCGCACTTCCTTCAGAGGCCTCTCCTGTCAGAACAGTCCCAGTGGCTCCCCCGGCGGAGTGTAAGGAAGAAGCAGTGACGACGCCATCACCCGTCGCAAAGGAAGAGCACGGGAGCCAGGATGAGGGACAGCTGGACCTCTCCCGGTGCGCAGAGCCGCACCCGGCCTCAGCCGCAGAGGAGCCTGGCAGCGTCCTTCCCGGCCAGTGCCCGCAGGACGCGGCTGTCCCGGAGCAGAAGCCGGCTGCCTCTGCTGAGCAGGAGTCTGAGCGGGATGATCGTCTCCCCGCCGTTCCTGCTTACAGCAAAGACAGAGGCCAAGAAGCCCCCCTGGCGTCCCCAGTGCAACCTCAGAGTCCTGGCGGGGAGAAACCGGTCCTGAAGCTCCCAGCAGAGGCAGGTCCACAGGAGACCCCCACAAAAGAAGCTCCAGCAGCTCTTGCTGATCAGAGCCCAGAAAGCCTCAAGAGAAAATCTCTTAGCCAAGAAGAGGCCCCTGCAAGCTGGGAGAAGAGGCCACGGGTCACCGAGAATCGCCAGCACCAGCAGCCATTTCAGGTCTCGCCGCAGCCCTTTCTCAACAGAGGAGACAGGGTCCCCGTGCGGAAAGTTCCACCCCTCAAGGTAAGAGAGCAGGGAGACTTGAAATGGAGAGTTGGTCTGAACACCATGTTTTTGGTCAAACCTAGTAAATTTCAAGTAATTTGTGGCATTTCTTAACGCAGAAACATATGTACTTGGTCTGCATGTATCTGGCCTTACACAGATAAAATGGTCGATAAGCTGCCCTTTAGAACTGCGTTGTTGCAGATCTTTGTTGGGTTCTGAGTTGGGAGGTACCACCCTCACTTACTCATGCTCGCCACTCTGTGTATTAAGACAGTTCTGGAAATTAGTCTGTCTTACATGGCAAGATAATTGCGAGAATAAGAACAAGGAGGCCATGGGTGTGGTTAGAAGATCTGATCCTGTACCAAGAGCTTGGTATTTGAGTGTACTGTGTCTCTTTCCACACTGCCATAACTGACTTGATATTCTGTGAGTCTGGAATGACCTGTGGCTCCCTCTTATGAAGAGAATTGTGTGTCTGTCCTGTCACCACTGGTTACTTGAAGAACATGAGTAAGATGGCATAATGTGGGGCCGGTGCTATAGTGTGGCAGGTACAGCCACCACCTGCAGCGCCAGCATCCCATATGGGCACTGGTTCGAGTCCCAGCTGCTCCACTTCCCGTCCAGCTCTCTGCTATGGCCTGGGAAAGCAGTAGAGGATGGCCCAGGTCCTCGGGCCCCTGCACCTGTGTGGGAGACCTGGAAGAAGCTCCTGGCTCTTGGCTTCAGTTTGGCTCAGCTCCAGCCATTGCAGCCATCTGTGGAGTGAACCAGTGGATGAAAGACATCTCTCTCTCTCTCTCTCTCTGTCTCTCTCTCTGCCTCTGCCTCTGTCTTTAAAAAAAAAACAAAGATGACATAATGTTACTAAGCTTTCTGCTCAGCATGTCTTTCTTTAAGATTTATTTATTTATTTGAAAGAGTTACACAGAAAGAAAGAGAGATCTTTTATCCATTCATTTCATTCACTCCCCAGATGGCTACAACAGCCAGGGCTGGGCCAGGCTGAAGCCAGGAACTAGGAGTTTCATCTGGGTCTCCCGCATGACTGGCAGGGGTGCAAGCAATTGGGCCAACTTCTGCTGCTTTTCCCAAGCCATTAGCAGGGCTAATGGAATTGGAAGTGGAGCAGCTGGGACTTGAACTTGCACCCATATGGGATGCCAGCGTTGCGGGCGGTGGTTTTACTCATTATGCCTCAACACCAGCCTCTGCATATGTCTTTAATACTACTTTGGGTATTATTCACATTAGGATATACATTTTTTTTAAACTCCAGTAAAGGTACTCTCCTCTCCCCTTCTGTATAATTAATTTTTTTTATTTTTTTATTTTTTTATTTTTGACAGGCAGAGTGGACAGAGAGAAAGAGACAGAGAGAAAGGTCTTCCATTTGCCGTTGGTTCACCCTCCAAAGGCCACCGCGGCGGCGCACTGCGGCCGGCGCATCGCGCTGATCTGAAGCCAGGAGCCAGGTGCTTTTCCTGGTCTCCCATGGGGTGCAGGGCCCAAGCACTTGGGCCATCACTGCACTCCCAGGCAATAGCAGAGAGCTGGCCTGGAAGAGGGGCAACCAGGACAGAATCCGGCACCCCGACTGGGACTAGAACCCGGTGTGCCAGCGCCACAAGGCGGAGGATTAGCCTATTGAGCCACGGCGCCAGCCCCCTTCTGTTTATTTATTTAGTTTTTGTTTTTTATTTTTGACAGGCAGAGTGGACAGTGACAGAGAGAGACAGAGAGAAAGGTCTTCCTTTGCCGTTGGTTCACCCTCCAATGGCCGCCACGGCCGCGCGCTGGGGCCGGTGCACCGCGCTGATCCAATGGCAGGAGCCAGGTGCTTCTCCTGGTCTCCCATGGGGTGCAGGACCCAAGTACTTGGGCCATCCTCCACTGCACTCCCTGGCCACAGCAGAGAGCTGGCCTGGAAGAGGGGCAACTGGGACAGAATCCGGCGCCCCGACCGGGACTAGAACCCAGTGTTCCGGCGCCGCAAGGTGGAGGATTAGCCTAGTGAGCCGCAGCGCCGGCCCTTCTGTTTAATTTAAATGAACCAGTTAGTACTATCAAGAAATACTTCTTGGAAATAATACTTTCCTGACGTTCATTTTCCCCATTCCTGTACCACCTGACTTCTCTCTCACTGTGCCTCTTAATTACCTATAGGATGACATTCATTCTTCAGTGCTTCTTAATTTTAAGTTTTGCGACTTTAGCACCTATGAATCTTGGGTTTTATTTGGTTGAGTTTTTTTTCTGTCATTAACACAACACAGTCATGCTTTGCTACAGATACTGATTTTTTTTAAAAGATTCATTTATTTATTTGAAAGGCAGAATTACAGAGAGGCAGAGGCAGAGAGAAATCTTCATCTGCTGATTCGCTCTGCAAATGGCCTGCATGGCCGGAGCTGGGCCAATCATGAGCCAGGAGCCAGGAGCTTCTTTCCAGGCCTCCCAGGCAGGCACAGGGGCCCAAGGACTTGGGCCATCTTCCATTGCATTCCCAGGCCACAGCAGAGAGCTGGATCAGAAGTGGAGCAGCTGGCACTTACCGGTGCCAACATGGGATGCCCGCACTGCAGGTGGTGGCTTTACCCACTGTGCCGCACCACCGGCCGCCATATACTGATTTTTATGAGAACTACTTTTCCTATTCTTCTTAACAAGCATGTTAGAAAGCTTTCTCTAATGACTGTCAGTCACAGCTCATCTCCAGAGCTCAGTGCTGACAGAGTTTTCTGTTTTGTCATCTGAAAAAGTCTAAGGTGCATCACTTTCTGCCTACTTACTGATAATCTGGACAGACTTTGTGCTGAAAACTTAAACCCGCTGGGACTAAGTGACTATGATTTTACTTTTTTCCTTACTCACCCAAAAAAGATTTCACTGGAAGTTCCTATGGTAGCTAATTTACCTTAGACCTATTTCAAATCCCACTTTCTTAGACAAAGCTTAATGTATTGGGCCAATGGCCTAGTAGGCTAAGCCTCTGCCTGTGGTTCCCGCATCCTATATGAGTGCCAGTTTGTGTCCTGGCTGCTCCTTTTCCAGTCTAGCTCTCTGCTTATGGCCTGGGAAGGCAGTGGAGGATGGCCCTGGTGCTTGGGCCCTTACATCCACGTGGGAGACCCTGAGGAGGCTCCTGGGTCCTGGCTTCAGATTGGCCCAGCTCTGGCTGTTGCAGCCATTTAGGGAGTGAACTAGAGGATGGAAGACCTCTTTCTTTGTCTCTCCCTCTCTGTGTGTAACTCTGCTTCTCAAATAAATAAAATGTTTTTTAAAATGCTTAATGTAAATTATAGCAGGACAAAACCTTTTAAACAAAATTTAAATAGGATAAAAAAATTTGAGTTTTAGTCCAAATATATGAGAAATATACACACAGGGGCTGGCACTGTGGTGTAGTGGGTGAAGCTGCCAACTACAGTGCCGGCATCCCATATGGGCACCAGTTGTACCGGCGGCTCCACTTCCAAGCCAGCTCTCTGCTGTGGCCTGGGAAAGCAGTAGAAGATGGCCCAAGTCCTTGGGCCCCTGCAACCACGTGGGAGACCTGGAAGGAGCTCCTGGCTCCTAGCTTCAGATTGGCGCAGCTCCTGCCACTGTGGCCAATTGGGTAGTGAACCAACAGATGAAAGATATCTCTCTCTCGGCCTCTCCTTCTGTCTCTGTGTAACTCTTTCAAATAAATAATAATAAATAAATCTTTTTTAAAAAAGTATATACACACGTATATACATTATTTGTTTTATATTCAGTATATTCTTCAAAAGAATTTACTACTTCTGATGCGTGGGGTGGGGCATTTCAGTAAATTAGTTTGTTTTGTTTTTTTTTCTTAAGATTTACTTATTTGAGAGGCAGAGAGAGAGACAGAGAGTCTTCCATCCACTGGTTCAAGTAGAGCAGCTATTACTCGAACCTGGTGCCCACATGGGATGCCAGTACTGCCGGTGGCGGCTTTACCCGCTGTGCCACAGCGCCAGCCCCAGCAGTGGTTTTGTACTTAAAACATCTCATTTATCATGGACAGCATTTCATTTATTCTGTATAACCAGGTAATATCACTATTTACATAAATAGCCAAAACTTGTTATGTTATTTTAATTGTTAAGACATTAAACTCCTTTTAATGATTATCCTTATTTGATTTCAGCATGTTATTAAGATTTTCAGGTACTATTATAGATATCATTTATTTTGCTAGGTATGTATGATACTCTAAAAAGTGTTCTCAATATCAAGTTGTTTGTTTCTATATAAAATTCCCCGGGGCTGCTGCTGCTTCTGCTTCCGCTTCCACTTCCACTTCCTCCTCCTCCTCCTCTTCTTCCTCACTCTCTCTCTTCCCCTTCTCTGTAACTCTTTCAAATAAATTTTTAAAAAAATTAAAAAAAAAAAAGGGCTGGCGCCGTGGCTCACTAGGCTAATCCTCCACCTTGCGGCGCCGGCACACCGGGTTCTAGTCCCGGTCGGGGCGCCGGATTCTGTCCCGGTTGCCCCTCTTCCAGGCCAGCTCTCTGCTATGGCCAGGGAGTGCAGTGGAGGATGGCCCAGGTGCTTGGGCCCTGCACCCCATGGGAGACCAGGAAAAGCACCTGGATCCTGGCTCCTGCCATCGGATCAGCGCGGTGCGCCGGCTGCAGCGGCGGCCATTGGAGGGTGAACCAACGGCAAAGGAAGACCTTTCTCTCTCTGTCTCTCTCTCTCACTGTCCACTCTGCCTGTCCAAAAAAAAAAAAAAAAAAAAAATTCCCAGAGGGGCTGATATTGTGGCACAGTGAGTTAAACTGCTACCTGGGAAGCCGGCATCCCACAGGAGATCTGATTCCTGTCCTGTTGCCCTCCTAATGCCCCTGGGAAAGCAGTAGAAGATGTCTCAAGTACGGACTCCATTGGGATATACCCAAATGGCATATCCGAATGCAGTTCTTGTCTCCTGGCTTTGGCCTGGCCTAACCTTGGCCATTGCAGCCAAGTGAACCAGCAGATGGAAGATCTCTTTCTCTCTCTGTATCACTATAGCTCTGCCTTTTAAATAAATAAATAAATATATTTTAAAATTCCCCTAGACAACTTTCTTGTATTTAATTTCTACTTTTGGCTTTCTTACCACCTGCCACCCTTCTTCCCCACCGAGTTTTCTCCAATAGGCACCACTAGATGATATTTGCTTCTGAAGTGCTATGTGCGGAGTAAATGTGCTGTCAAGGCTTATTAGCATTGTATATAAAATAAACTTAGCTCTAAGAAGAGGTTAAGTACATCTCATGGTATATTATTCATGGACTTAATTTTTGTTTTTAATTAAATGCTCTAAAATGTCCACAACCTAATTAGTGTTGTGATTAATTCCAGTAGTTTTCAAAGTATAGCTTAGTGCAGGCCTCACAATCTTATGAAACATGCTGGTTTATGATATAAAAACCAGTGTTTTCAAATCTGATAGTGTATCAGAATCTCACAAGTATCTTTAAAAATATTTATTTATTTGAAAGGCAGAGTAACAGAGGGAGACAGAGAGAGTTATCTTACATCTGCTGGTTCACATCCCGGGTGGCCACAGCAGCCACGTTGGGGCCAGGTCAGAGCCAGGAATCCATCCTGGTCTCCCACATGGGTGACAGGGATCCAGGCAGCTGGCCCATCCTCCATTGCCTTCCCAGGCACATTAGCAGGGAGCTGGATCAGAATTGGAGCAGCCAGGACTCAAACCAACACTGAAAATTAGGATGCCAGTGTTGCAGGGCCACAATGCCAGCCCCACAAGTAGTTTTTTTTTTAATAAATACTTTTTTCTCTTAATTATTATGATTTGTAAATTTTGGGATAGGAATCAGGGTGTGTGTGTGTGTGTGTGTGTGTATATATATATATATTTAAAGCTACACAAATAAGTGTACTGGCAGCAGGGGTGAAAATGCCTGGCATGTAGATGCTCCTTTATATGGTGTATAGCAGGGTACAGCGGTGTCATTCACACAAGTCTTCCTCCAGGGCTATGCAAAGGCTTCTCTAATTTCAGACAATCCAGCATATACGCTGTGTGTATGTGTATAGAACAAAAGTATTTTCTCCAGGCCTTGATAGTAATGCTAAAAAGTAAAAGACGCAAATGGTATGGTATTTCCTTTATTTTTTCTCTTTCTTTCTCTCTTCCTAGTTCTCTCTCATTTTAAAAATGCAGAAACCATAGGAAGGGCTCTATTTGAAGTGATCAGCAGTTGGAGGTTGAGTGGAGGAAAGAGGGATGAGAGTCTGGGGGAGGGAGTGGAGGGAGGCAGCCTCCAGCATCGATACACAAGATGAAGGACCCCGGAGTCACTGGTGTCCGTGTGCCCGTCTCCACGGGCTGGGCTCTCCCGAGGCTGTCACAGGTGTGGTGTCCATCTGCTCTCAGAACGCAGGCATTCCAGAAGTGTTGCTGTTCTCACGAGTGGAAGCTAAGCTCTGTTGTTTCCCTCCCCTCCTTTCAGATCCCGGTCTCCAGAATCTCCTCCATGCCGTTTCCTCCGTCGCAGGTCTCTCCCAGGGCTCGGTTTCCAATCCCCATCATCAGTCCTAACAGAACAGGAGCCAGAACCCTCGCAGACATCAAAGCAAAAGCCCAGCTGGTCAAAGCACAGAGGGCAGCCGCTGCCGCTGCCGCCGCCGCCGCTGCCGCCGCCTCCGTTGGAGGGACCATTCCAGGACCTGGCCCAGGGGGTGGACAAGGTTCAGGAGAAGGTGGCGAAAGGAAAACTGCAAGAGGAGGCAGTCCAGGCTCAGACAGGGTCAGTGGAACTGGAAAGGGCCCCGCACTGGAACTGGCAGGAACTGGAAGCGGGGGAGGTACGAGAGAGCTTCTACCCTGTGGTGCAGAGACTCAGCCCCAGTCTAAGACCAAGACCCCAGGCCAGGCACAGCCTCCTAGTGGCTCTGGAGCACAACTACAGCAAACCCCCTCAGTGCCTCCAACACCTGCCGTCAGCGGAGGGTGCTCAGGTGTCCCATCAGCAGCCCACGTAGAGAAACCCAACAGTGAGACCCTGCACCCCGCCAGGGCAGCACCCGCAGCAGCCCCTCTCGGTCAGCCCGCAGGGCCCAGTGGCTGCAGACAGGAAAAAGCACCTTCTCCGGCGGGTCCTGCTCTGGTTTCAGATGCTTCACCTGCTCGTTTTGCAGCTAATGGCACCATTGAGTCCAAAGCAGGCTCTGGTCAGAGTACACCGAACCCTTGCGCCTCGGCAGAGACAAATGCTAGTGCTCCGGTGGCTCTGGCTCCCTCCCCTGTCACATCTTTATTGACAACAGCCACTTTAGAGAAGCGCTCTGTACCCCAGGTCAGTGTGACTGCAGCTCCCACTGGGTCAGCTCCGTCCTCGAGCACTTTGCCAGCAGCTTCTAGCCTGAAAACCCCGGGAACTTCAAGTGTGAACGGACCCATTTCACGACCCAGCTCTAGTATCCCTGCTAATAACCCTTTAGTTACTCAGCTGCTCCAGGGCAAAGATGTCCCGATGGAGCAAATCCTGCCTAAGCCTCTCACCAAAGTTGAAATGAAAACTCTTCCAATGACCGCAAAAGAGGAGAAGGGAGTAGGAGCCCCCGCAGGCACGGCCGGAACAGAGAGTAGCGCCAGAGAAGAAGTTCACGAGAGACCGTCCCATCCAGCTGTGCAGCCGCTGGGGAAGAGCCTGCAGAGTCAGCCCCTCCCCCAGGGTGCCCGGCCCCTGCAGCTCTTCTCGCCTAAGGACCTGAGGGACCCGGGCGTTGAGGCGCACCAGTACCCAGAAGGACTCAGTAAAGCGGCCCAGGATCAGGTCCTCCAGACGCTGATCCAGAGGGTGCGCAGGCAGAGCGTCCTGTCGTTCGTGCCGCCCTCCCAGTTCAGCTTCACCCACTCAGGTTTCCAGCTGGAAGACATCTCCACGAGCCAGAGGTTCATGCTGGGCTTTGCTGGCAGAAGGACATCCAGGCCTGCCATGGCAGGCCACTACTTGCTTAATATTTCCACCTACGGCCGAGGCTCGGAGAGCTGTAGGAGGACCCACTCGGTAAACCCTGAAGACCGTTTTTGTCTAAGTAGCCCCCCGGAAGCCTTGAAAACGGGATATGCAGATGGTCAGAGCGCAGCAGGGGACAGCAGCAGCGGCAGGGAAGACGACACTGACGAGGAGAGCACTGATGAGGAGCAGGAGTCGGTGCTGGCGAAGAGGGAGCCCCAGGCGCCCCCGAGTTCCGGCAAGGGCGATGCAAGTGCAGGACCCCACAGCAGGGAAGCGCCGTCCATCAGCGACTGCTCGGCCGAGGCACCGCTGAGCGAGCAGACCACTTCAGCGAAGGAGCATTACCTGTTCCCCAGGGGCCAAGCGCTGGATGAAAAGACTGTGGCCAGAGATTTTGTTCAGGCAGCGCAGAAGCAGGTGGCGCATGCAGGGAGAGGTAAGACGATGCGCAGCAGCCCTGAGCGTTTCGGCTCTTCTGCCCTGCCTCTGCCTGCCGACAGTCCCACCCATCAGCCTCTGCGCCTTCCGCCCCTGCAAACCCCAAAGCTGTATGGAAGCCCCACCCAGCTAGGGCCAAGCTACAGGGGCATGATCAATGTCTCCACCTCTCCCGACATGGACCACAACTCTGCCGTACCAGGTAGCCAGGTGTCTAGCAATGTGGGTGACGTCATGTCCTTCTCAGTGACCGTCACTACCATCCCTGCTGGCCAAGCCATGAATCCCGGCAGCCACGGCCAGACCATTCCTGTGCAGGCCTTTGCGGAGGAGAACAGCATCGAGGACGCGCCTTCGAAGTGCTACTGCCGCTTGAAAGCCATGATCATGTGCAAGGGCTGCGGAGCTTTCTGCCATGATGATTGCATTGGGCCCTCCAAACTCTGCGTCTCCTGCCTTGTTGTTCGGTAATGAGAGCAGAAAGGTACACACTGTGAGGGTGGGGGAAGGGAAGGGCTGCTGACGTGTGTGCGTCCCTGGAATCACAGAGATAAGTCGGCTTGGGCTGTCTGAGCAGACGGATGTTAATCAGGAAGACAGAGTACAGGTTTTTTGCATTTTAGAGGAAGAGCACCTTGTATACCAAGTCTAAGGCAGGCAGGACTGTGAGTCTGTGACAAGTTTGCACTTAGAAAATCATGTAAATATGTCACATTTTGTCTAACATGGCTTTCCCAAGGGTCGCGGTAATGATGTGTTACTTTGAATTCAGATTTTGTTCCACTCAACGTGACTGAGGAAAGGCGAATGCCATGCTGGCTGCCTCTGACCTCCGCTGAGAGGCTTGGAAGAGCAGGGAGAGAGGGAGTGTTGGACAGATGACTGGAGGTGAGGAGTGTCTGCACATTCCGGCTGCACGTTGTGCGGAGACCATTCGGCCTTTCCAGGATTTGGATCAGGGTTTCCTCAGTCCCTTTACCTTAGATGGAACTGTTTCAAGTCGAGGTTTTTGCTAAGGCCTTACTCCCACAGGCAGCATTGCAGACCCTGACAGCTGAGTGGTTCTTGGCTCTGTCAGCCAGTGCTGTTGGCAGGCGCTCTGCCTGCAGCTGCTGGAGCCCTGCTGTCCCCTAACCCCACCCCTCTGCCCCCAGACGTGAGTGTGGCCTGGGGCGGGAGCGCCTCTCCAGGCCCCGCCGTGTAACCATGGCCTGTGCAGGGCCGCGGTTCCAGCAATAACAGCTCTGCGTGACAGATTGGAAATCCAAGGGTAAAATAACCAGGAAAGGGTGAGTGAGTGGGTGATTGGAACCATGTCTTGTTGAGTGAGGGGAATGAAACTGCAGAAGCTGTTAAACTGAGCATAAAGAGCTTTGGAAAACAGTTTCGCACTAGAAACAAGGTAGCCTGTCTTCTCCTCTTCTCTCCCAACCCCGTAGCTAAAGTTTTATAGTCACAGGTAGAAAAGCTCAGTAACACATTTGCTCCTTCTGTTCAACCTGTTTGGACCTCCCAGGCATCTGAGGATGGAGTGATCTGATTACATCTTACTTAAACACACGTGTCCGCACACACAGAGCACAGTTTCTGTTTTAGCAAGCTTGTGCCCTGCTTTGCATTACTGCTGTCTGTGTACTAGAAATTTCTTATGTAAAGGGGATTTGGTGAATGGCTAAGAAAATGTCTGAAAGGAAGAAGAATTGGCTCCAAAGTTTTGTTGGTTTTTTGTTTCATTTTTTGTTTGTTTGTTTATTCATTGTTAAATCTTTCTTAGTGGCTGAAGAATTTTGGAGTACATATTATTTAGGTCATGGTTGTAGAACATTAGAAACAGCCTACAGTTTACCAGAATTTGGTACTAAGTAGGAGATTGTCAACTGGTACCACCTGCATATAGAACTCATCTCCTAATTTGAAATGTGTAAAAGCATTCGTGCAACCTAGTGCATTCACATTTGTACCACATATTCAGGACGCGGCATTTACAAGCTGCGGACCAGTTAAGCTTGCTCACTGAGACGCGTTCCAGGTTAGGAGAGCATGAGTGATCATAAAACCCTGTCAGCGTTTCCTCACAGTCCCTGCTCCAAACCCAGAAGAAACTCACTCCACTATTTTTCATTTTTCTTTTCCAGCTTTTTTGTGGCCCAAGGCACATAGAGGATCTGTGTCCCAGTTTCAGCCGAGGCAGCGTGAAGTCCTTCCGTCTTCCCGTTTCCCCCCCGTACACGCATACACACACAGTTCAGTCCCACCGAGGGTAGGAAGTAGAAACTGTGGTTCTGCTGCCAAACTTGCCGACCCCTGGGTAATCCGAGGGGGGTCAGGGAGACCTCCTGCTGGGTCTCACTTCCGTCTCTCCTCCTCGCCGTGGTGGCAGCGCCGAGGGCTGCTCCTCTGCGTGCTGGGGGGGTTGGTTTGAGTGTTTCAGAATCGACCCCATTGCAAAGTGTCAGCCACCAATTTGGATTGATAAAAGTGACTTACTTTCTTCACTGATTTTCTGTTGGAAAAGTGTTCCTGCACGCACCCCTCTATCTGGGCACAGGCAGGCTGTCGTCAGGGGAGGACCGGTGTCAGGGAATTTCAAGTCCAGGTAGAGCAAACCATGCTGTGCCTCCCTTGCTCTTGACCAGGCTCTTGCACACAGGTGCTCAGCACTGCTGTTTGCCAGATTCTCTTGAAGACCATGCAGCTGATGTTTGCTGCGGACTCTCAAGCAGAAGTTGCCGCTGGGTGCTCTGCCTCCGTCCTGACAATCAGAGTCTTGACCGGCAGCAGATTGAATCCCAGTCCCTTTGGCAGTCTGTTTGAAAGCAGTGGTTTTAGGGAGAAAGCAGTCATCTTGTAAGCTGAACCGGGCTGGGGAGGGGGGCTGCAGTCTGGCCCATTAGTAAATGAAGGAGGAGCAAGAAAGCCGTTACATGATGAGTCTGAAAGCAGTTTCTGTCTTAGCTTTTGAGTTGCCTTGCCTTTCAGTCCAATCCAGAATGTTTTACGAAGTGCTAAGCTTGCCCTCAGCAGATGAAGCGCCGCCATGTCCGGTGACTAGTTAGATGTGTGTCCAGTGCACCTGCCCCCAGCCTGGTCTCGTAGCCCCGCCCATGGCAGGGCACCTCAGGAGAGAGCACTCGTAGTACGTCATCTCAGTCTCACTTCTCAGTGTTCTCAGTGGTCTAGAAAGAAGGCTTCCTGAAACTTAGAGCATTTTGATTAAAGTTCTCCATCCTACAAAAGAGAAAATAAAGCCAAATAATCTGAAATCGTTTGCCCTACTTCTGCTCCTTAACCCCTGTGCTCAAGACACTGAAGTTAGCTGTGGAATTCTGTGTCCGATTTGTAAGATTAAGAGCTGGCCAGTGGGGAGTTTTTCTTGGGGGCCAGGGAGCACAGGGACCTGGGCTGGGAAGGCACACACACTGATGTCTTAGAGCTTATCTCAGATTGAATTAAGTAGCCAAAGGAAGCACTCCTTGCCTTCTAGTTGAAGGTGCAATGTCACATCCTCATGACTTGACGGTACCATCCCCGTTGTGTATTCCTGCCCGGCCCCGCCTTAGAGATCCTTAAAGAACTCTCTGGTGAAATGATGTGTTCTAATGATGGGGGTCTTCTCTGACCATTCCACTGCGGTTTATTTCCAGAACTTGCTGTCCAGGAGCAGTGCCAGGGTGGTTTTCTCTCTGACATCATGTCATAGCAAGGAGAAAACGTCTCCCCATCGTATTACTGCTCCGTGCTCAGTGAAAACTCAGCTCCATTCATAGAATAGTCCAAAGAGACTTTGAGAAACATGATGGTAGGCAGGGACCTTTCCTACCATGTTTCAATACCTGCAAACCTATTGAAAGAGAGCAGTAGGTAAAACAATTCCTAAAGTTGAAGCAGGAGCTTCATAGATTCTTGGTTACTTTATTTTTTTTAATGCTTTACATTTGATACAACTATTAAAGATCAATTTTAAAAATAGCTTTCCAGTAATATATTTTAAGTAATATATATTTTAATATCTATGTAAAAAGTGACAGTGGAAGACTTTGGATTTCTCAAGTATGGTGTGTTTAATGTAGGCCCTCACTGTTAAGGCACAGGTTAGTGCAAAGGAAGTTACTCTAAGGACGCTCAGATTATTTCCCAAGAATGCAATAAGGGGAATGGTTTTGGGGTTTATTTTTTATTTTAAAAGGAAAATGACTTATTTACCACAGGCTATTTTTCCCTTCTGGCTGTAAGGTTTGTACAGACTGGTTTGGTAATTGCTAAAACTTTTGTGTCTCTTGCCTTTTTAAAGGAATTGTTAACATTGGAATTGAGGGTATGTACAGAGAAGTTGGTGTCAACACCATTTAAAAAGTCATATTTTTTCACAAATATAGAAAAAAATCATTTTACATAAGAATTTTAAGTATTTGCAATAAATATATGTATATAGATTGTATGTATTCATATATTCTTATTTTTCATTTTATTATTAAGTAAAAGATGATTAAAAGTGAAAATAAAACCCTTCGAGTTTTTGGTGACTCCTGAGATGAGCCGGCTCACTGAGACGGGCCCGAGCGGAGGCTCTCCGTGGCTCCCTTGCTGCTCTGGGAAGGCTGCCGCTGCTGGCACGGACAGACGCAAAGGAGGGGCTTGCTGGCAGACCGGGGGGTGTCTTCTCTCAGAGATTTAGCACAAATATTCCTGATTTCTCCTAGTCTGTCTTTCTCCACGTTTTGTCCTTTGTTCTGTCTTGTACCCACCTGATTTGACTGGAAAAGAAACACAATGTAGTGTCTTTTTTTCTTTTTCTTTTCTTTTTTTTTTTTTTTTTTAATGTGCCCCTGGTTTGCTTCTAAAAGGAAGAATGGTAAGAAAACATCTCAGGGGAAAAATTAGGTTTTCCTTTCTCCACAGTGGTTAGGCATCCATTAGCGAATACTCGCTGCCGCCACCTTCCGGCCCGGGGTGTGTGAAGAAATCACCTCTTGAAGATCATTGGAAACTTGTCCTGTGTGGAGATTCAGCTCTGAGAGGTGACTTCCAGAGCCGGAGCCCTGTCCTGCCTGACTGATCTGGAGGGGCTGGATCAGAGCTGGGAGAAGCATCCCTGTCTTAATTAGAATGTGTCTGCACGTTTGACACTTGAATTTTGAACTCGCTGGTGTTGGGAAGGACGTCATGGAAATGCGGCTGAGCCCAGTGTCTGTGGTCCCACACCTGGATGTGGGAGACAGCTGTCTGGTCCAGAATTCATTTCGTGTTGTAAATACTTGGTTTTAGGGTATGATGGAGGGTGAAAATCAATACTAGATGGTCTTGCAAATCAAGGTATGTAGCCCGTTCCTTAAAAACAGTGGTAACCTGGAAGAAAAATTGGGAAGATCAGATATTTTAAGAATGTATCTTGGATGATCCATGAAATTGACTTTGTACTATATTTAGTTCTCCCCATAATTGCTGAGCTGGGGTTATTTTCACTGGAGAAAAATAGCATATTTTGGAAATTAATGCATAGTAATGCCTTTTCAAAGACAACATTATTTTTCAAAAATTGAAATTTCATACATGAGGGTTGCCCAAAGACATTGGAGATAGTTCAGCCACCCAAGAGCATGGTGCTCAAGGTATTAGCTGAAAGTGTACTGCTTCGACAGGCAGCTACCTCCGTCTCAGGGAATACCTGCAGCCTCATTCCTGTCCCCTCATCGCAGTGAAGGTAAACAGCTGAATGTGTCTGACCAGTCCATAACGACCATTTCCAGTGAGCGCCTCCCCACGTCCAGAACTGTGATTCCGGGGGGCCGCCTTCTACCTCATGGGAAGCAGAGCTCACGTTCAGGTGACGACGTGGGCGAGCGGGTCTGCAGCCGAGTGAGGAGAAGCAGTGTGCCGGCACAGGAAGCCTCCACCTGCATCTCCCAGCTGCCTCTCGCCAAGCCCACAGCCTTGGAAACCTGTGTCCGGTGCCTCTGACACTGCTTGGTCTCATTTGGTCTCTGGAAGATGGAGATTTTGCAAAATGTTTCTGGCTTTTTGTACAAGTCATTTTATTCCCTGACAGATTTATGAGAACTGAAGTGTTGTTTATACAAGGGTACGCAGAGTTGTGTCAGCTGTACAGAGGTTTTCCTGAAGTGGTATCCACACCGCACGTTTCTAGTCGAGAGAAGCAGATGCTGAGCGTGTCCCGGTGTGAAAGTGTAAAGGGGTACAGGACAAAATGTGAAGAAAGGAGATACTGCCTCCAGATGAAAAATTTTTACAACACCGTGGGAGTTAGGAGCCGTGTGAATAACATTGACCCTTTTAAAGAATTGTTGGAATAGCAGAAGTTGTTCGTAGAAGTTTTGAGAAATCTGAGTGGATCCTGGGAGAGAAGCCAGAGCAGCCTCTTCCCATAATGCAGTTCAGCAGGTCAGTGTCATGTTCGGCTTTCAGGTAACAGTCGCGTCAGTAACACAGCTTCCCCGTCACTGTTCAAACCCAAAAGAAGCGAAAGGAGATTTTTTAAGCATGATTTCCATTTTACAGGTGAGAAGGAGCTGTCTTTCCTCATTTCCAGTTGTTGCGGTTCCTGTTTTATTCCTCCATGGTAGGCAAAATTGGTGTTCTGTGCTACTACAGAATTGGCCTTTTCCCCCTGTGAAGTCACAGTACTTGAATTCTAGAACACTGCAGCTAGGTCCTCGTCCTTTCCACTTCAGTGCCCAAACCCTCACTCTTCGCTCTGCTGCTCTGGAGGGGGGTTTCGGAATGCAAATCCGTGTCTGCCATCGCTTCCTCCGGATGATTCCTCTTGCATTCCGCACGCCATTCCCCTCTCAGAGGTGGCAGGTGTGTGCCACCAGGTGGTGCCGGCTCCACTCCCAGGAACGGGGCGCACGGAGACCCTGTGTGAGGAAACTCAGGTCTCTGAGGGGCAGCCCTGGAAGGGTCTCCCGGTGAGGGAGGGGCAGGCCGCTTGCAAAGGAGCCGCGGGAGGAGCGGGGCTGGCTCCGCCTGCACAGGGGCTCCTGAGGACGGACTTCCGGCTCGGTCCTCCTGGCCCTCCTCGCCCTAAAGAAGCTGCCGCGAGCTGCGTCAACTGCAAGTCCCACAGGGAGGCTTGGAGAGCGGAAAGAGAAACCAAGATCGACTTTTAAGTGCATTCAAGTAAACTTTGAATTAAGGGGGTTTTTGTCGTTTTGTTTCTCTGTTTTAAGATTTTTGAGACGTGCTGTGGGCTAAGGAGCGCTTGTCTGTTGATGGTGGCCACTTTGGACACTGATGAGAACTTGGAGTTGTGCCCCGTGTGTTGGTGGAATGGGATTTGGCTTCATAAACACTAAGTGTTGCCAGCCTTAATCAGGAGTTCTCTTCTTAAGTATCTAAAATTCAGATAGCCCAGTAAGAAAGCCATGCATTAAATGATCACAAGATAAGCTGAAGAACTATTTGACACACCACCTGTTTCCTTCCCATGGGGAGTAGAGCACATGGTTCTTTAAAAACCTGAGTCTGACATTTTCAGATCCAGGAGCCTGGGGGTGGGGGAGGGACGGGGGGGTTGGACTTGGACCCTAAGTCGATCATTCTTTCCACGTTGGGTTTCAGGCAAACGCAGTTTGGAGATGTCCTCGGTAGTGACCGCAGCCGACCCTGTGTGTAATCACTTTGCACAAGTTGTAAATTAATCAGACGTGGTTACCTTTTTATTAGACAAGAAAGTAGATCCTGGGCTCAGGAAAGACATGCTAACTTATTCTCTGATATTAAAATGCTAATTAAAGAACAAGTTCTTGGAGAAGTCGCAAAATTTCTAGAATCCATGAAAGATCTAGAGTACATGACAAATGAAACTCTGGAAATGAGAAAACTTTTAGCCATAAGTGCTTTAACCTGTTTGTTCCAGACGCATCTTAGATCTGTAACTCACTGCACCGCACCTTTCACCAGCACCAAGGAAAATCCGAATGGAAGAAATGACCTTACCTTGGTCTTGTTCACTTTCCAGTCTGCACACAGGCCTTAGCACCTTGACAGATGACACTCTGCCTGTCAGCTCCTCACTGTCCCTACTCCTCTCCCAGACTGTTCTTTTTATTGGTCATATAAAAACTACCTTCTTGAGAGTTGAATGTACAATAATGTTTCTGCACATGGGCGGACTCTTATCTCAATGACTGATTTTATGTGGAATAAAGGCGTACAGTTTTACCAGGCGACTGTGCTTTTTCTTTTCCGAGGGAGCCAGACACCATGTTGGATGACTTCCCTGCGTGTTTTCCCCTTCCGCGGTGCGTGATGCACAGCTATCCCTGGGTCCTCCATAAAGCTGAGAACCACAGGGTACTGATCTCTCCATAAACACTCAGAGGGGGGTGAAGAACTCAACAGGGACCAAAATGTGTATCATCCTAAACTGGAGAGAAAATCCATGCTAGAAAGCCATAGCCATCACAGCAGTGGGGCACCAGCAGAGAGACACACAAAGCAATGGGACAGAAACGGCCAGAAATGATCCCTTTGATGTAAGCCCAAATTATTTTCAGCGCGAGTGCCGAGATCAGTCTATGGGGAGAGGTTCAATGACAGTGATGCTGGGAAAACTTCCGTAGACTTGCAAAGAATGAAGTTGGACCCTTCCCTAACCCCATCCGCATGAAAATTAAGTTGAAGGGGGAAGATGATAAAACTCTAAGAAGAAAACAGAGCTTTAGAATTTGGCTTGACAGTGGTTTCCTGGATGGAATGCCAAAAGCATGAGTGGCAAAATTAAAAATAGAAAAAGAACTTAATTAAGAGTTTACACATCAAAGGACATTGCTGAGTGCAAAGGCAACATACTGAATGGGAGAAAATGTTTGCAAGTTGTATAATCAGTAAGTGTTTAGAATTTTTAAAGATCACCTCAAGAGAAACATGAGCAAAGGACCCAAGTAGATATTTTCCCCAAGTAAGTATAACAAATGGCAAATAACCATACGAGAAGATGCGAATTAAAACCACAGTGAGCTACCACTTGATCCATTGGGACAACTGTTCCCCCCCAAAAAATAAATAACTATTGGAAAGGATATGAAGGAGCTGGGACACTTGTGCATTGCTGGTGGAAATATAGTGATTTTTCAAAAAAAAAAAAAACACGTTGCAGCAATTTTACATTGGGTATATACTCAAAAGAAGTGAAAGCAGCGCCTCAAATATATTGAGTACCAGCGTCCATAGTATCCATACTAATCATAAGGTGGCGGGCAGCCCAAATGCTCATTGGCAGACAAGTGAAATTTGTCAGTTGGCAGGTAAATAAAACATGAAGGATGAACAAAAGGAAGGGAATTCTGCACTGCCGCAGGGACACACGCCTTGAAGTCACTATGCTAAGAGAAGTAAACGCTTCTGTGAGGTACCGTTAAGAGTAGTCAAGTTCATAAGCAACCGAAAGAAGGGTGATTGCCAGGGACTTGGGGTGGGGAGGATGAGAAGTTCATGCTTAACAGGTGCAAAATGGCCTGTGTTGAAGCAAGGGCTTGAAAAAATCTTGTGTGGTAATTTATTCTCCAAGGGGCTGAGAAGGTTAAATTAAAAAATGCTTTGGCTTACAAAAGCAAGAAGGGCCCACCAGCGGGGTTGGGAAAGGCCCTGTCAGGGTGGAGAAGCTGGCCATGGTGCTGGAGACAGCCCCAGGTCACTGCGGGATGCCTGGGAGAAGTAGCCTTGGCGTAAGGAGCTGCAGCTGAGGGTGGAGACCACTGCCACGTCCTAGAACAGCCAGGGACCCCGACTGCGGGCTCAGATCGGGAGCGAGACTACCAGAAATCACGAGCTGATGATGTGAGGAGTGGCTTCCTGAAGTGGACAGCAGGGGAAACGATACTTTTACTTATTTGTTTTTCATCTAAAAAAATTCTGATGAAGTCAAACTCTCCAACTGAACTACTTCTGGGTTTGGTCTTGTGTGCATGGCGAATTGCCCAACAGGGACTTTGACCGTCATCAGGAGTCTGTTGAGTAGAGAACTGACATAATGTGTGATGCACATGTTTGTCCTTGATTTTGTCCTGCATTTTTGTTTTAGTCTGAACAATTATTTGAGAGGCAGCGAGATCGCCCATCCGCTGGTTTGCTCCCCAAATGGCCTGGCTTTTACTCAGCTGTTGTTTGGACATTCACCTGTGTTGTACGTGTGTGGACGGTGCGTTCCCATGTTCTGCCAAGGAGTATTCTGGTTGGCTTAGGCATTCACCTGTCGGTGGGCATGTGAGTTATTGCCAGCCTGTCCCTACCGCAAGTAAAGCTGCTTTGCAAGGGTTTTCGGCCAAATGCTTTCATTTCGCTTGGTAAAAGGCCTGGATGGAATGGCTGGATACTATGCTGGGTGTCAGGGTAGCCAAAGAATGCACAGAGTGACTGCACCGCTGCCCATCGCTTCAGCAGTGTGACAGGTGCGCTCCATCCACTTCCATGTCCGCATCTGAGAGGGCATTTCAACAGACGGGCCCGGCAGCTCCCCTGTGAGGGATGTTGCTGGCGTCTTTTCTGGTCCTGTTGTCTGTGTGTTGTGGAGACACAGGTGGCTAGGAGAGGAACCGAGGTGTGGACAGCTCCTCAGCACAGTGCATGTCAGTGATTGACAGCCACAGCCAGCCTGCTGTGGCCCAGCCCACAGGACACGTGCCCTTCTGTGTGCTGTCCCAACTCCCTCCCCTTTCTGGGCACCTGTGCAGGACCTCTGCCTCCCCCTTCTCGGCTCCTTTCCATGCATCAGAAGCCACGAGTTCCACATTGCTGCAAACTGGAAACACCCACCATGGCTGCAGGACCTTAGGTCATTATCATCAAATTACCATGGCCACTCCCACTCCTATCGTGCACCTGACACCATGGCGCTTCCGGTATTTCTGAAAGGGGTAGGGAAATGAGTGGTGCCTGAGCCCTGCCCCAGACTCCACCGCCTTTGACTCTCCAGTTGGGTTCCCCTGCAGATACTGGCCCTGTGCCTCTGGAAGCCGTGCCGAGGGGGCTTGTCCTCCTCATCCAGGGCCTGCGACTGTGGATGCTCTTCCTTGGTCGGGTTTTCCTCGAGGCCTTCAGTGGTTCTGGACGTCTGTTAACGCTCTGCTTGATTCTTGAGTTTGCACTGTGCTTCTGCCCCACAGAAGTCCTGCTCGCCTGCACACCTCCGTGCCTCCACCTCTAAGTTCTTTCCCGCGTGGTGGGGAGACCTTGCAGAAGGCCCAGCAGAGAGCCCCGCAGCTTCCGGGTCCCCGTTTCTGGAGCGTCCGTGAGCCGACGTCTGTGCGTGGTGGGAGTAGAGGGCCAAGTCCTCTTTCCTTGTTAGAGAGGTATTATTAGGTGTCAGTGTCTAGTAGGAGTCAGTCCACTGCTGGGTTCTGTTCTGCTCAGTGACGTTTGTCGTCTGAACCATGACCACATTGTCCTGGCTACTGCAGCTTTGTACCTAAGTCCCGCAGTCAGGAACTGCTGCCGCACCAGTTTTGTCATTCATTTCCCAGATTGAGAGGCTGTGTTAGGGTCCTGGTTTCCGTATGATTTTTTTTTTTTTTTTAAGATTATTTATTTGAAAGGCAGAGTTAGAGAGAGGGAGAAACAGCGAGATCTTCCATCCACTGGTTCACTCCCCAAATGGCCGTGTCAGCTGGGACTGGGGCCAGACCGAAGCCAGGAGCTTCTTCCAGGTCTCCCATGTGGGTGTTATCTTCTGCCGCTTTTCCCATACAGCAGGGAGCTGGATGGGCAGAGAAGCAGCTGGGACTCAAACCGGCGCCCATATGTGATGCTGGCGTTGTGGGCGGCAGCTTTACCTGCTATAGCATGACGCTGGCCTCATGAGTTTGCTTTTAAAGTTATATTTATTTGAAAGGCGGGGTAGGGGGGGAGGCAGGAGGAGAGAGAACGAATCTCCTATCCACTTCCCAGATGCCTGCAACAGCCAGAGCTGAGCCAAGCCAAAGCCGGGAGCCAGGAACTCAATCCTGCTCTCCCATGTGTGCAGTGAGAGCCTAAGGACTTGAGCCATCACTGACTGCCTCCCAGGGTGCACTTTAGCAGAAAGCAGGAATCTGGAGCCAGGACTGAAAGCCAGGCACCCAGTGTGGAGTATTGGACGTCTCAAGCAGTGTCTGGACTGCTGTGTAGGTTTTTCTTAGTGAGGAAGGACTGTTGGGTTTTGCCAGCTGCGTTTTCTGCTTCTGATGGTGTATGGTACGAATTTCAGTTTGTTGCTAGGAATTACATTGCTCCAGGGCAACCCAGCCTTGCTGTCATTGATTTTCTCCAGTGGTTTTCTGTTTTCTGTTTTACTGACTTCCACTCTGATATTATGTTGTGTTTCTTTTGCTTACTTTAAATGGCTTAAAATGTTCTTTACTGTCTGTCTGTAATTTGGAAGCTGATATCGTTGGTACCTCTCTTCTGTTCAAACACAAGGGTTTAGTGCTATAAATTTTCCCATAAGTACTGCTTTGCAACATCTCAGCAGTTGTGATATGTTGTTGTACCATCTGTCTTCAGTTCAAAATGCATTTTTAAGGATTTGGGGTTTTTTGGGCCGGCGCCATGGCTCACTTGGTTAATCCTTCGCCTGCAGCGCTGGCATCCCATATGGGTGCCAGATTCTGTCCTGGTTGCTCCTCTTTCAGTCCAGCACTCTGCTGTGGCCCAGGAGTGCGGTGGAGGATGGCCCAAGTGCTTGGGCCCTGCACCCCATGGGAGACCAGGAGGAAGCACCTGGCTCCTGGCTTCGGATCGGTTCAGCACCAGCCGTAGCGGCCATTTGGGGAGTGAACCAGTGGAAGGAAGACCTTTCTCTCTGTCTCTCTCTCTCACTGTCTGTAACTCTACCTGTCCAATAAATAAACAAACAAATAATAATTAAAAAAAAGGATTTGGATCTCCCCTCTTAATTTTATTTATTTGAAAGGCAAAGTGCAGAGAGAGAGAGAGGTCTTCCATCTGCTGGTTTGTTCCCCAAATCGCTGCAAAAGGGGGCTGGGCCAGGCTGAAGCCAGGAGCCGGAACCCTATCCTGGTCTCCCACATGGGTGGCAGGGGCCACAACACTTTGGCCGTCATCTGCTGCCTTTCCATGAGCATTAGCAGGGAGCTGAATCAGAAGTGGAGCAGCCGGGACCCCAGCCGGCACTCTGATATGGGATGCCGGTGTCACGAGCAGCGGTTTAACCCACTGTGCCGCAACACCA